AAAAGTCTCATCCCTTTTCAGCCTCAGGCTCAAGGTCCAGGATCTCATCTATCCTCTAACTCAGATGCAGCTGCACATGAAGCACTTAAGTTGCTTAGGTATACCTCCTGGTTGAGGCTTCTCTCTGTCTCAACACCTGTGAACTAAAGAAACATATCCAAACCACAGTGCTTGAAAGGCACAAACTTTTGTAGATATGCTCCTCAAAAGGGAGAAAAACTGATGGCATGCAGCAGTCACTAGTCTGTAGAAATTCTGAAATCCACTGGGTACGTGTTTTAAGCTCCTTAATTAGGTCCAGTATCACTTCCTGGAAGTTGTTTTCCATGGTTCTTTGTTTTGTCCTCTGAATCAGCCTTCTTTTGCTGTGAGCAAACTGAATTTGCCTTCTCAGTCTTGCCTATAAAAGGCTCGGGGTCTAAAGGATTCTTTCTGTTTTGTACCATCTCTGGTCCTGTTACCATGGATGATGGGATCTAGGACAGGCTCCTAGGTTCTTGTGCACGGTGAACAAATAATTGGATGTGGCACATGACAGTAAAGAAAAAGCAGTACAGTTTATGAAGGCAATAGCATACTCAAAGTGAACGGGCTAATGCCTTTGAGAGGAAAATAGCACAAGTACTGAGGGCAAAAGGTAGGGGTTTAAAATGTTTGTGCCAGTTCTGAGGCGCTTCCCACTGGGGTCTTCCAGAGCATGATTGACATGATTGACAGGGTACTGAGTTATGTCAGCAGTCATGTCTGCTACATATGTCCTTTCCCTTGAGTCATCCTGTTATAATTGGATGTATGAGATACAGTTCATGTGCATGAACCTTCAATGAGTTCTAGGTGATAAAAGATTACTGTAGGTCATGGCAGCGGGTTTGGTGCACATGAGTTTTGGTGCACATGGAATTTTCCAGGGCAGGGTTGGGGTCTTTGCTTTTCTTATCTTGCCTCCATGTAGTAAGCCTTAGGACAAGGGTTGGCCCTGAGGCCTTACTTAGGTTTGAGTGAATGGAGAAATGTGGTCCAATGGTGATTGGAGGGGAACAGCCCCATAACCACAACTGTACTGTCTATATTAAACCTTCTAGTCCAGACTGGCAGTGCTTTCATTAGAAGGATTCTCAGAAATTTGCATTTTTTCTGAATACCATCTGGACTCTTTTCATGACACAAAAGCTGCAGCCACACATTTCTAAAGATAAGCCCATTGCTGCTCTGGACCTCTGTGCACCTGGAGCTGTAGGACAATAACCTTAAGACTTATATAAATTCTTTTGTTTAAAGGAAAGAATCTGCAAACCTTGCCCTTAACATTCTTAGAGAGCCTTTTGATCTGAAGGAGGGCATGAAGCATATTCTTAGATCTTTTTGCCATCTTAATAAAGGATAGTATTATCTCATTCCGGAATTGATCTTTGGCTCTTTTTTTTTTTTTTTTTGGTACCAGAGATCGAACTCAGGTCCTTGCACTTGCAGGGCAGCCAGAAGGCTCTTTCTTAATTGGCAATCGTTTGCCTTCTGGAGGGCCTAGGAATGAAAAGCAATTTGGTTTGTAAACATTGCAAGTTCTGGATGTGTGTGTCTATGTACATTTTTTAATTTTTAATTTTTAATTTTTTACATCTCTCATCTTACATTTTATCATAAGCAATGAGAAGAAGCCAGGTGATGCTTTTCTTACTTTGAAAAGCTTAGCTATTTCATCAAGCGCCTCAGGTACCTTTCCTGTTTTTGTCACTTTAGACAACAGTCTGGTCAAACTTTCAGTCACTTCCTAGCAAATGTTCCCTGACTTCCATCTCCAATAAGATCTTCCTCACTTTCCTTTAAACCCTTACTGACAGCCTCCTGGCGAACCTTTACCCTTCCATTAAAGCTTTCCTCAGTCAAGCATGATGGCACTCTCTAGTAATCCCAGCACTCACGGAGGCTGAGGCAGGAAGATCGAAAGTTTGAGCCTAGTCTGGGCAATTTAGCAAGACCCTGTCTCAAAATAATGAATGAGGGGCCAGGGACTTAGCTCAGTGCCACTGCTCCTGCCTCACAAATGCAAGGTCCTAAGTTTGATCCCTGGTGCTGGAAAAAAATAAAATAATGAATGAATCAATCAGTCAATCAATAGGGATACAGTTCAGTGTGAAGGCCTTGGGTTTAATCCTCAGTACCAAAAAAAAATGTCCTCAAAGCTCTTTCAGTTTTCACTAACATTCTTCTTGTAGCCCTATCTACTGCTTTCTGCTGCACAGTTTTAAAGCCAATGCCATGTGCAGAATCTGTTTCGATAATCTTTTACCGTGTCACAAACCACCACAAAACTTCATGGCTTAGAACAACACTAAGAACAGGGCTAGGTAAAGAAGCTTATCTCTGTGGTGTGCAGTGTCAACAGGGGTGGCTTGAAGAGGACTGGCAGACCTACTTTCACCACATGGCTGACATGTCCGTTCTGCTGTTGGGTTTTCTCCATAGAGACCTCTCACTAGGGCACATTGCTTCCTGACACAGTAGTTGGGGTCCAGGAGCAAATGTCCCCAGAAACAGGAAATGGAAGCTACCAGTTTCATAACCCTGGGCCCAGAAACTGGTATGGTGACCTTTACACTCCTGGTCAAGTGTAACACATCAGAAGGAGGGATATCAAAGAGGTTGCAGGCCATGTTAAAAGCTGACAATCTTCTAAATGTTATATAATTTTGCCTAGGGCTGGGGATTTAGCTCAGTGGTTCTGCTGCCTACCTCCAAAGTGCAAAGTCCCGAGTTCAATCCCCAGTACCAAAAAAACCAATAATAATAATAATTTTGCTTTTTTATTTCACCATTTAATCTATATAGAATTGTTTTAATCATCACCACACTACTATATTTTTTCCTTTTTTGTGTGTTTTAATTGAAGTAAAGTTTGCATTGTAAAACATGTCTTTTTCCCTTTTTTTTTTTTGGTTTTTGTTGTTTTGAGATAGGGTCTCACTATATATTTTAGGCTGGTCTTGAACTCACAGTGATCTTCCTGTCTCAGCCTCCTGGGTGCTGGGATTTCTAGTGTGTGCCACCACACTCAGCTCAACATATATTAAATGTACAATTTCATGAATTTTAATAAATGTCAGCACCTAGATAATTGCAACCCCAACCAAGATGTAAAATATTTTTGCCACCCCTGCAAACCTCCTCAGAGTCAGTCTCCACCTCCACTTTGATTTTGATTTCTGTCACCAGATTAGATTTTACTGCTCTTGATCTTAATACAAACAAATCACACTATATATATGGTTTCTTTCACTCAGAATAATGTCTTGAGAAGCACCTATGTTATTGTGTATATTAATTGTTCATTTTTTTAATTGTTAAGTGGTATTTCATTAAACAAATATACCACAATCTATGTATCTGTATTCTTCTTGATGGGCATTTGGGCTAGTTCTAATTTGGGATTATCAATGTACTAATACAAATCTTAAAAGTGTCTTTTCATAGCCATCTGTTACCTCATTTTTATGACTTTTTGAGTTCCCAAGATCCTCTGTTTTTAGTGGTTCCAATAAAAGAATCATTAATCCAAGCACTCGGGAGGCTGAGGCAGGAGGATCACCATGAGTTCAAGGCCAGCCTGGGCTACATAGTGAGTTCAAGGGCAGCCTGCACTACAAAGCAAGAGCCTGTCTCAAGAAAAAAAAATAGAAGAGTCATATTACCAGACATGAAAATCCTATTTTTCTTAACAGACTTCAACCAGTCCTTTTATTAGATCAACTTTCACACTTGGCTCCAGAAACACTATTCTGTTGATGCTCAGGCTTCTTGTGAATTAGGAGATCAAACAGCTTGGTTCTCATCATTCTCCACTCAGCTTTCTTGAGTCTACTAAGTCATTTACTTTTCCAGGTTGCTTTCCAGCTTCCAAAATTTTATTATTTTCTCTTTTATTATCTGGCTCATCTTTAAAAGTTTCAGGAGAGAACACAGTTAAATGTATATATTGAGTTCCTCTCATTTGCTTTTATTCCTTTCTTTTTCTCTTGTTACCTTCCCCATCCAGCCTACTTGCTTTGCATTTTCTATTTTCTTCTCTCCATATCACTTCTCCTTAGATTAGAACTATGAATGTAGTGATTCCTCAGAGAGCATCTATCCAGTTCAACCCCCTCCTCTCACAGATGGTGGACCTGAGACACAAATAGGACTCAATCTCCTTTCTGTCTTTAGTACCAAAGTAGACTTTTGCCTTCCTCCACCTTCAGTTAGTGAGAGAACAGTACTGCCTACTTGATAGAAGCCTGGAAAGTGATCAGAGGAGAGTATGCCATTTCTGATCAGGCTGCTGTGGATCCTCCCCAGAACCCAAGGAAGCAACCTCATTTAGAGCAGCCTCAGTTTCCTGTATCCCCCACCTCAGTGCCAGGTGCAGGGCATCAACCAGGAGAGTGCCCAGCTGCCTTTACAGGAGAACTGCTGAAATAAGCAAATATATGTGGGACCAACAGGGTCTTGTTTCATTTTTCTTTCTTTTTTTCTACTCTTTGGGCTTGAGTGTTGATATAGAAGATAACAAAGGAACTCTTAGGCCAAGAACAGAAATCCAGGCAAGTGATCAGTGGTATGATGATTCTGCATCTATTGCCAACATAGACATAAGCTAATATTGCCATGACCCTATGACTCCTTACATATATAGGATGTGAGGCACAAAGAATATAACAGGCAACCAAGTACAGAAAGTGAAAGTGTATAAATATGGAAAATGGTTTAGATTTTCTTTTCAGGGCACAAAAGACAAAGTGCCAATTATGTACTTAGCTTTTGGTCTGGGCCATTTCCCAAGTAGTCTATGTAGCAGCCAGGCACAGCCTTTTCTGGGCTCCTACCCTTTATCCTCCAGTGTTTCAGCAGCTTAGCTACTGGAAGTCCTGGTGGGGACCAGATCTCAGGGTGTGGTAGATAGAATACTGTTCTCTGACTTCTCTGCAGTAGATATTCTGTAAGTTTCTTGGATTCTTTGTCTCCTATAGTCTGTATCTACTTGAACAAGAGTGGCAGCACAGGCCCCCACTTGGATAAAAAGAAGGTCCAGCAGCTCCCTGACCACTTTGGGCCAGCACGTGCCTCTGTGGTGTTGCAGCAAGCAGTCCAGGCTTGCATCGACTGTGCTTACCACCAGAAAACTGTCTTCAGCTTCCTCAAACAGGGCCATGGTGGCGAGGTCATCTCAGGTGAGCACCCTTGGGCTAGTATGACCTCCTACTCAGAGGGGCAGGCCTTCTCAGTTGACTGATTTCAGACAAGGCATCCTGTTCACTAATTCACACCTATAGGCTCTGGAGAAATATGAAAGTATTCTGTTCCTCAAAGACCTCTCATTTCCAACTCCCAAGCTCTTCTGAGCCTTGTAGATATCTCTGCCAAGAATACCCTCTGCCTAACTGAGCCCCTAAACAGATTTCTCTGCTATCTCCTTGCTTAACTCACCCATTCAGAAAATGTATGAGTATATGGTTTTAGGGCATTCTAGAAGGAGGAATTGAGAGGGGCTGTGTTGTACAAGAGAGTTTCTCCAGGGCCGGGGATTTAGCTCAGTGGTTTCGCCGCCTGCTGTGCAAGCGCAAGGACCCGAGTTTGGTCCCCAGTACCAAAAAAAAAAAAAAAGAGAGTTTCTCCAGATTGCTATGCCCTCCCCACTGGCCGTCTTCCCTTATTCTTTTATTCCACAGCTTCTCTGGGCCTAAGCCTGACCCCCTATAAGGGCTCAGAATCTCAGGGTAGAAAGCAAGTATGATTCCCTCTTTCTTTATTGCTATGAGAGTTTAATTCAACAGTACATTGTTTTTGGCTCTCATTGAGAATACTCACTTTTTCTGCTATGCCCTCCTGTTTAAATTTTCCTAAGTCCAAAATTATTTTCTTTACCTACCAAACCTATGAAGGTATAGCCTTCTAATCTTAACAGCAATGCTGTCCCATATTCCCCTGCCTTTCTCCTTAAGTTCCCATAATCAGCTTCAAGAAATCTACCTGACATGGAAGACCCCATAAGTCACCAACTGATTCTTTTAATGAACATTTATTGAGCCCTTACCATATGTCAGAGGTTATTGCCAGATACTGGGAAAAAGGAAGTAGAGAAGATGACAGGCTCAGGGCTACACTGGTGAAAAACAAAGAATCTATACACAGCTAAGTGTAACAACTGTTAGAGACTCAACAGAGAAATGTATGGGAGCCCAGGCTTGAGTAATTGACTGTGTGGAGGATAGGGTCAAACTTGGAAGGAATTACTATAGAAGGCGAGGAACTGCTGGCAAATAAATTCATGTATCCTTTGAAGCCCAGGCTATTCTCTGGCTGTGTTTTGCTTCTGTGTAGCATTTTGCAGGAATAGGCCTTCTTTACCTCCTCTTTAGCTGCTTCTACTTTGCCCCACTAAGGCTCCTCTTCTGTCCCTAAACTGATTCCTAAGGGTGACCTAACTCTCTAAATCTCCATTTCCTCACTCCCTCAGAGACAAAGAGCACAGACCTTTTACTTTAAAAAAATTATGCTGATATTTTTAATAGAAATGAGAATAATAAAACCCAACATGAAAAATTCCAGATATTATCAAAACTCTGGTGTTTTTATATAGTTTGGAAATTGTGTGCCCAAACCATTGCTAGCAATAGCTGTATTATCCTTTCTTGCTCAGCTTCTCTGTTCTTGGGCAGTTCATGTGAAAATAGCACCCTAAATGAACAGATTTCCTGGAGTAGGCCCTTCCAAACGATGGAGCAGATAGAATTATATTCACATTTGTTTTCACAAGTTGAGTGAAATCATTCTGAGCCCTGTAGCTGCAAAGGACTTGGCCTAGCCACTCCCATTATTGCATGCCCTTTTTGGTAGGAGGCAAAAATCAAAGCCCTCAAGGGAGGAAAGGAAGGAAAGAGGGAGGGGGGAAGGAAAGGTAGGGAGGGAGGGATGCAGCCTCTGGGCACTGACTGCTTTTGTGTAACCAAGTAAGCCTGAGACAAGCAGTGGGCTGGGCTCCTCTGGCCCTGTGCAGTACTTTCCCTGCACTGCCCAGCTGACATGCAGGGCTCTGTTTACCTAACTCCACAGCCGTGTTTGACCGGGAACAGCACACTCTCAACCTCCCAGCAGTCAACAGCATCACCTACGTCCTCCGCTTCCTGGAGAAGCTCTGCCGCAACCTTCATAGTGACAATCTGTTTGGCAACCAGCCCTTTACACAGACTCACTTATCATTCACTGCCACAGAATACAGCCACAGCCACGACAGGTACCTACCAGGTAGGAGCGGGGATGGGGCCTGGGCTCAGAGGGGGGCTGGGCTGGCAGCAGCACCTGCAAGGGCCCACACCTGCAAGGGCCCACACCTGCTAGCCTAGTGTCTACTGTCCAGAAATTTCCTTTTCTTTCTGTTCCTTATCTTTGTATCACCTGGGACTTTTTGGTCTCCCATCATCACAGTCTTCTAGATTTTTTCCTTTTTTCTCTAGAATTATTCTTTCTTCTGGACCCTTATCCTTAGAAAAAGTTCCCCTTTTGAGTGCCAAATAGAGCCACCCTGAAGTCAGAGCAAATCTCCTAATTTGAATCTTGCAGCAAAGGCATAACATAGCTCTCCTTTGCCACCAGAAAGGTTTAGTCTCAGGCTAGAGATTGAGAAATCTGCTGCTCCAGCACCACCACCACCCCCAGTCCCATGAACACCCATCCATTCTTTGCTCTGGCACATGGCCCTAACTCTTCTAGCACTGCAAGTCTAGCATGTCAATTCAAGTTCTTACCGTTTCCAACTAGGCTGGAAAATAACTTTCTTAGTTAACATACCAGATCCACAATAGGAAAGCAAATGCCACGTAGCCGGTCAATGACTAAGCACTTCCAAGAGAGAAATTGAAGAGTGGATGGAACTCAGCATCTTTAATCTGGAGTGTGGGACACAGAGCAGAGGGAGGAAAAGAAAGCTTGGCCCTAACCATAGAACCATAATGAGGTAGGTCTCTGTTGAGAGGGAGGAAAGCCCCATAAAGGAGATCTCTGGACTGTGACCTGAGCAGAGGAGCAGAGAAAAGCCACTGTCAGTGTGGGGCTGTGCTGTGTGCTATGGAAGAGCAGTCTGAAAGGTGTCTCTTGGCCCTTCTTACATAAGTCATATTCCCATGCTGCATTTCCTATTCTCTTGTCATCTTAGTCTTAAAGGATTCACTTCCAATTTAATTACTACTTCTGGAGAATGTGCGTGGGGAAGTGACTACTCACCCAGTCCCATTCTCCCCTCCTGCATTTATACTTTTGCATCCAAGTGAATGTTGTTTATGTTACTTGCAAGAGGGCCAAAAAGGTATCTAAATTCTAAGTACTCCTGTGGGGACCAGACTACCTGGTCCCTAAAGCTATATCCATGCCCCTGGGTGGTTCTTTCCTTCAGAGGAAAACTTCTCACCCGGCCTGCTCTAGATTGCTTTCTTTCAACATTAGAATCTGAAAACAGAAAAAGGTGTTTGCAGCTATAGTTACAATGTTGCACTGGCATGGTGGAGTTGGTACAGACAAAGGTGAGTTATTAAATATCCCCAGCTATTGACATTCAGGGATTCTGAAAGCAAGGATGTGTGGGAAGGGGTGGCATATCCATGAATGTAGCTGCTCGTCTAAAGAGAAATTTCTCAAAGTAACAGGAACCCAGAATTCTTAACTGGAGTACAGTCATTAAATTAAGAACTGCAAAAGATACACTGGCAGAAGCACTCAGACTAGGATATGTATGTTGTGGACCTGCAGTCATGAAGGTAGTTTGAGATTGGGGCGTGACCCTTCCTGGGAATTCTGTGGTAGTTCATATTTCTCTGATTCAACTACCAGATAAGGGGAGCAAGCTTCAGCCAGACTCTTCCTTCTTGCTTCACTAGCTAAGAATGAAATGGAGAAATGGGGTATTACTTTCTGCCTTTGGCTGCCACCTTTCCCTACCCCCATTTTCAGTCAGACTGAACCAATTCTGTGTCCCCCTCTCCTCTCTGAGCTCATTTTCTCATTGGATATTCACAACATTGTCTATTCCCAGCCTAGTTTCTATTTGCTTTCCTGAATGAGCATTTTCTAGACAAGCCAGAGCCTTTTCTGGACTTATGATTCTTCTGTGCTTCATAGCCTCTCTCCTGCCTTTCTGCCACACTGAACATTTGTTTTGCCTTTGATCCTTTATCAGTACATACATTTTTCTGATTACTTGCCTAAACCTTTGCCAAAGAGCTTGATCTGTTCAAGACCTGTCTTTTGGGTTACCCTTTGGATCTGTTATTTATCACTCCTGCCTGTCTGCCTGGCTATATGCACTTCTACTAGTTTGACATCTGTAGATACCACCTCTGTTCTCTGGACTGAATAAAGTTTACTGGAGCCTTCTCCCTTCCCTCCTGCCTACCCTATCCCTATGGTAAGAGATAACTATCTGTGGTCTTGGCCCAACTGAACATGTACTTCCAGTATGTCAGATAGCCACCAAAAGCTCAGGTAGATTTAATATCCCATTAAGCTTTCTTACCTAAGTTGAAACTGTTATATTTTGAAAATTTTCAGATCTACAGAAAATGTGCAAAAATACAGTGTTCAAGCACATGCACTCCACCTAGATTTACCACTTAATTTTTTGAAATACTTTGTCTCTTTCTTTAGTGTATATACATATATTTGTATCTGTAATACAGTTGTATCTCAGTTTATGCACACTTTTGGTTTGCAAACAGAAGTGTTTGGCAAAATTTTGTTTTTGCTTGCACACTCTGCATCAGGTGACAAACATGACTGCAGCCATCTTTCCCACACAAGTCCAGACATGGCCATCTTTTCCAAAATCATAGAGCAAATTAAGTTCATGAATCAAAGTACCACTGTACATAGTATATGGCAGGTGTAGCAGCATACACTTGTAATTCTACCTACTTTGGAAACTGAGGCAGGAGAATCACAAATTCAAGGTCAGCCTGGGCAACATAGGAGATCCTGTCTCAGAATTTTAAAAGAAATTACAAAAGTTGGAATGTAGTAGTGGAGCATACCTAACATGTGCAAGGCCCTGAGTTCAGTCTCAGGGGAGGAGGATATACATACACATACACATCTATATACAAACACATATACATATAGATATATAGATGTATGTGAGTATACACTTTTTTGTTTATTAATCCATCTGAGAGTAAACTTCAAATGAGAGACTATCCTCATATATTTTTGTATATATCTGTTAAGAATGAGCACAATATCATTGTGCTCAAGAAATTTAACAGTAATAAAATACCCAAGAAGTTTAACATAAATAAAATACTAAGATAAATGAGATATACAATCCATGTTAGGATTTACCCCAGTTAATCCAGTGTCCATTATAGATGTTTTATTTTTTTCTTAATCTGGAATCCAATAAAGAATCACCTACTGTATTTTATGGTCCTGTCTCTTTTGCTTCCTTTGTACAGAACAGTTTACCAGTTTCTTTCTATTTTCTATGATGTAACACTGGCATTTTGAAGGATCTGGTCCAGTTGTTTTTGTTTAGGTCATCAAATATTTATTAAATACTCTGTTCCAGATCTATTCTGGACTCTGTGGTGACCGAGATGAACCAGCCTCAACCTCTGCACTCAAAAGAGGTGAAAGAGGGAGGAATGTGTGCACGTTTGTGAGAAAGTGTACAGAGCAGAGGTACTGTGGCACAGTCACTCTGATGAGCAGTGAATAGGATGAAGAAAGAGGGGAAGGTGGACTCCTAGGAGGAGGCAGACAGTATTAGAGCAGATTACCTTCAGAACCACATGTGTGCTGGATGAAGTACTACGCTTGTGGAGACTAAATGAGAAAGACCCCTTCTGATCCCCTGAACAATTGATAATATTGGGCAAGCCACTGTTTATTGTAGCTTAGACTTGTCACACTGACTGTTAATTTTAGCTGTAAGTGAAATCCACACAGCATTCGTCTCTGGGTCTGCTGTTTTAGATTTTCCAGGTTCCCCTCTGCTAGAAAAAGTGGTTCACCTGTCCTAGGATAATGAGTTCCTTGTGCCTTTCTTTCTAGTTGCCATCCAGGGATTCAGAATTAATTATAAAGTGTCAAAAGAGTCACAAAGATTAAAGCCAGATAAGAACTTTGAAATCTCTTAGGGTATCTTCATCACCACATAGACTTCCTCACAGGGTTTTCAGATAACTCAATGTGTTGACAGTTAATTGCAGCACAGTGACTAGCACACATCCACTTTCCAGATGACTGAACTCTTTTTGTAGACCTGCTTAAATACCGCAGTGTCAGGGAGGCCTCCGAGGGTCTCCTCGTCTAAGAGACCCCCTGTTATTATCTGTCTGAATACCCTGGTCCTTTCATTTGTAATACCTAGTATATCATAATTTTTAATCTACCTGTATTTTGTCATCCTCTCCACTAGACTAAATCAGTCATGAGGGGAAGGAAAATCTCTTTTTTACCATTCTCAGTATCCATAACCCTAACTTTCATATAGTAAGTGTTTTATAGTATTTTCTGGATAAAAGAGCGAGCAACAGAGAACCTGGGCATGATAGTTCAGAGAGAGATATGTTTTAATATGGGAATACCTTCAGCATACACAAGGACTGTGCCAATGTGTACAGGTTCTGTGCTGGTGTGGGAGTTTTTTTTTAATCCAGAGCTCTAGTTCCATACCTACTCAGTTTACCCTGCAGGGAAAAGTGTGGCAGTGAGCATGAAATCCTTGAGCCACAGAAGTAGAAAGTGCTCTCAAGACAATCTAGTGATTATCTGACCTCTGCTTGTCTCACTCCCAGTAACAAGTTGCTCTCTTGGTTTTTGGCGATTGATTTTATTGTTGGCTAACATGCAGTGGCATAGCTAGAGCTCATGCCACTTGGGGCAGCCCTTCTATTTGCCGCCCTCCAGCATATCTGAATGGAGTAAATTGTTACAATATAATTTTCCTTTTGGCTGATAACACCACCCAAAAAAACATGCCATCTCGGTTGCCCCGTCTCAAGCTATGCCATTGCTAACATGAATTTCCTCCTCCTTTGAACTTAGAACTTATGCCTCTGGTTCTACTCTGCATTCTAAAAGAACAAATCCACCTCCAGCACTCTTTCTCCCCAGCCTGCCCTTAGGATATTTGTCTCCCAAAATTTCCTCCAGACTTCACCTCCACAAGCCCTTTCTATTTTGCTTTAATCCTGTGGCTTCTCACCACCATGCTGTCATTCTTCACTAGGAATGCTAGTCTCAAGTCAGCTTTACTAGTCTCTGGTCAACTTTACACTGGGACACTTTGAGAAGAGCTGCTTCTCACTGAAAATGAGTACACAGGACAAGATCTTTATCTCTACAGTAAATTTAATTTATATCAGCACTAGAAGGTTAAAGATTTTTTTCATCTCCATCTTATAGATGGGCAAACTGAATCCTAAAAAAAGGCACTGATCACTGCTGAATGATCATGCCAGAAATAAAACTCAGGTCTTCCAGCTCCAACCTCTTAACACCTGAGATAGTAAAATTTGTTTTGTTTTAGCAGAACTCTGTTTTTTGCAAAGGTAAGATTATAATGGATTATAATGAAGTTAAAAGCCAGAGCTCTTTTGTGTTTTGGTTTTGCAGTACTGAGGATTGAACCCAGGGCCTTGTGCATGGTAGGCAAGCACTTTACTATTGAGCTATGTTACCACCCCTTTTTTATAATTTTACTTTGAGACAAGGTCTCACTAAGTTCCCCAGGCTGGCCTTGAACTTGTGATCCTCCTGCCTCAGCCCCCTGGAGTCACTAGAATTACAGGTGTATGTTATCACACATGGCTAGAACCAGAGCTATTTTGATAGAAGCTGGAACCAGGCCTAGAGCCTCCCTGTAGGGGGCCCTCAAGGCTCTATGGAGCACAGTTGGGAAGTATTGTGGTCTTCTACCCTGGCCTTGTCATACCAAAGGCCCCCAGGATCTCATCTGATCAGCTTAGAGGACTAGGGCCTCCCAGAGGTTATAATGCTTTGTTTTTCTAGTATACCTCCTTAAGGCAAGATTTGATGGCCTTGCCTAGTCAACATGCCACAGGTCCAGATTTTCAGACCTCTCAACTCAGAATCCAGATCTGTTAGTATCCTTAGCATTACTGAAGGAACTTCCACTGATCTGTTTCTCCATCTGGTGAACTCTGGTACTGTTATCATTATTATCCATCATATCATCTGTAAGCTCCTATAAGGCAGGCAGCACTATCGTCTTATCATAGCTGAGCAATATGAGGGCTGGAAAGGTCAGGACTCTGCTGATTTGAGTAGAAGCTAGATCAATTTTTTTTTCTTTTTTCAAAGAATGGCAGGGAGCTGAAGTCTGCTACTCTAATTCTGAATGAAAATAAAATTTCTCACATTCATGAAGTTTACCGGATTCCATTTTCTCATTTTATGTTCTCTGCCTGACTTGGGTGGTTTCCCCCATTTTACACATTAGGAAATGTGCCCAAAGAAGAAGAGCTGTTTGCCTAGGATCACATGCCTCACAAAAGGCAAAAGACAGGTTAGAAACGAGGTCTCCTGCTTTTCAGATTGGATTTCTATTCATGTCACAGAATGGGACATGCTTCCATCTCTCCTGGAAACAGGAACCAGAAACCTAGTCTGCAGAATGAGGGTAGGACTTGGTTTAAGTATCTTGAAGCCTCAGAGACCTCTCTTTTCTGAACACCTTCTGGGAAAGGGCTTCAACAAGTAACCTCCCTGCAAAGGGTACATAGCTATCTAATGCTAGATTTGGTTTTCAGTCAGTGTTTCTGAGAAATTTTAGATGAATACTAAAAAGGAGTCCTAAAAATCCTAAACCATCTTGGGACTAAGGTCTTATTATGGGCTAAATAATTAATTCAGCATTCATCAGAGGCCTTTGAATGAATCCCAAGCATTATCTAAACATCTGATCTCTAGGAAAAGTGTGAGGAACAGTGATACTGTCTGGTACCCATGACCCTCACACAGGTAATGTGTTAGGGCTGAGAAACTGATTTGGTCTGTGTAGAACTCAGTCATGAGAGGGATTCAGCTTTGGGTTCTGCACCGCCCTGACGGCACTGCTGCCTGGTGTCAGGCAATGGAATGGATGTAGAAATGTCAAGGTGAGATTCTTCTTCCAAAGACTTTCATGGCCATTCACTTCTGATTAGCCCAAGCCCCTTGGAAGGCATCCCATGGTATAGATAAGGATACTGGGTTTTCAGAAGAACACTCTACTGAGTGTCAAAGCCAAATTCTAACCCTGATCCTGGTCTCCATGTTCAAGCTCTCCCTAATGTACAATCCTAGCTTCCTTAGAAACACCTGTGTGATCAGAGGGATGGAATGTAGGAACAGACAGGCCTTTAACTGGGCATCAGGAAGAATTTCTGAGATGTCCTTCTGGTTGAGCAGTGTCAGCTTCCAAAGAACCTTCATCTGAGCAAATGCATCCTTTCTTCACTCCATTCCCTGCTCTAGCATCTTGTCACTAAGGTAGTCTCTTCTAGAGTAGCTTAATTTTTTAAAGTTGCCTTTCTGGAAAAAACCTAGGGCAGTGGCAGTAAACTTATGGCACATGTGCCACAACAGGCTATCTGTATCATTGAAGGCTCTAAAAGGTTCGCCATCACTGGCCTAGGGCATCCAGATCAGAAAAAAACCTCAAAGCCTGTCTGTTCAAAAGAAAGAGTCACTAAGGAAATTGAACTTGGGACTGACATTGAGCTTGGCTGAGGTCACCCAGTGAAAACCAGAGCCATGACTGACACACAGGCCTCCTAAGTTCCATCCATGGCTTTCTGTCTTGCTGCCTTTTGTCCACTCAAGCAGGTACCTGGAAAGTAGCACTCTAACAGTCTATCCAAGCTCATCCCTGCTCAAAGCCTGGTTTTATTGTTTTCTAGGTGAAACCTTTGTCCTTGGGAATAGTCTGCCTCGGTCCTTGACACCACACTCAGACTCAATGGACTCTGCGTTGAATACCAACAAACTTGTCAGCTCCTCCCCAAATCTTCGAGTTCCTGCTTACCGGCCTTTGCTTCCCTCCTGTGGCCTTCCACAGAACACTGCTTCAGCTGTGCGCAGGCTGTGCTCCAGAGGTAAGCTGGCCAGATTTCTGTCCTTCTGCCCTCCCTCTTTCTCTACTTCCTTATTCCCCTCCTTCCTTTGTTTTTCCGTTCCTTCCTTTCTTCTTTCCTTCCTTCCTTCCTTCCTTCCAACATGCTCTGATAGGCCAGGGGTAACCTAGTTCTACATGCTGGTGGGATTGGGATTAGGTTTACTATTGTGCCTGGAAGGAAATCAGAACTCTGGGATTGGCTTGCAAATAACAGAAAGAGCCAGACACCTAGAGCTAACAGGGACAGAGGAGGAGTCTTCATTCATTAGCCATTTACTTGAATACTATCTGTATTTGGCACAGAGATATAAAAATCACTTTTATCATTAAGGTCTTGAAGAGACAAACACAAAAAGATTATTGTACTTGGAACAGTATCCTGAGTACATTGAGAGAGATGTGCTATGGATAGTCTGAAAACTGCAAGAAGAGACCCCTAACCCAATCTTAGCATTCAGGGGCACTTCTAGAGGAAGTAACTCTTTGTCTGAGGCTGTATAAATGGTTGTTAGAGTAGATGAGAAGGGAGACCTTTCCAGAAAGAGGGACAACATGAGCAAGGGCAGAGGGAAAGAAAGTAGGACAGATGGTACCAAGACTGCATGCCATTTGGTACTACCAAAACTAAAATGTGCTGGGACTTCATAGACAAAAGCCTAGACAGGTCAATGCTTGAATGCCATACTAAAGAATTCATGCATGATCTTGTAGGCAATGTGAAGCTGCTCAAAAGCTTTTTTTTTTTTTTGGTACCAGGGATTAAACTCTGGTCCTTGCGCTTTCAAGACAGGTGGTGGAACCACCGAGCTAAATCCCCAGCCCTCAGAAGCTTTTAATTAGAGGTAGTGCTTACATTTGTGGGGGTATTTTTGTTTTGTTTTTGTTGTTGTTAGCATTGTTACTGCCAGAGACTGAACCCAGGGCCGGCACCCTGAGCCTCCATCGCCCATTTTGTATTTTGAAACAGTCTCACTAAATTGCTTGGTCTGACCTCAAATTTGAGATCCTCCTATCTTAGCCTCCCAGAGTTCTAGGATTACAGGTGGAAGCCACCATACCGGCTCAGGTTTATGTTTTGAGTAGATCACTGGGTTGAAGATGAACTTGAGAGGGAACAAGACTAGATAAGACTAGAGAGCCAGTTAGGTTACAAGGGTAAGTCAGACTTGAAATGATAAAAGACTGAATTAGGATAGTGATAGGAGATTTAGTGAAGAGACTTGAAAACTATTCATGAGGATAATTTTATCAGATTTTAGGATCATGAGACAAGTGAGTGGAGAATGTTTCCTGGGCTTAGATGTCTACATGTGGTGGCTAGAGGGATGATAGTGCCACTCACTGAGAGAACCAACCATGGAAGAGAAGGAAGAGAAAGAGCCTGTGGGTCACTTAGGGGATACTCAGCAGGCAGTGGCTATGTGGGTCTGGTTCTTGGAAAGAGTACTTCGCTGAATAGAGCTAAATATTTGGGAGTCATCAAATATATGATAGAAGTTAGATAGAAGTAGATATAAATATAATTACTTTCTCATGTAAATACATGAGAATGAAAAGAACAGTTGACCAAAGAACAAGCCCTGGGAATCAACAAAGTTCAAGAGATGGGAATAGGAAGAACAGTGCACCAAGGAGGTAAAGAAATGTTCAGAGTGAAGGAAAATGGAAGAAATTGATAGTGTGATAGCCAAGGTTAACAAGATTACAAAGAGCACAGCTGGACATGTTCCAGTAATGCAGAAACTGAGACATCTGCTGGATTTGGTAATTAGTGGATAATTGGTGATCTCAGCAAGAGTGGCTTCAGTGGTGGTGGAGGGTGGTGAGGGCAAATTACAGTGGGTGGGAATACATCAGGGGGAATTGAGAATAAAAAGGACGGTAAAGATAGTGGTGAACCCAGGGATGGAGGTACACATATAATTCCAGTTACTCAGGAGGCTAAGGCAGGGGAACCACAAGTTCAAGGCCAGCCTACAACTTGGCAAGATCCTGTCTCAATAAATAAAAAGAGCCCAAGAATGTAGCTGAGTGGTAAAGCACCCTTTGAGTTTAGTCCCAATACCAAACCAAAAATAAAAAAGGAAGGGAGGGTGAGAGGGAGAAAAGGAAAGAAGGAAAGAGAAACAGAGAGAGATGCTGGTGAGAGGGCCTATAAGTCAAAAGAAAGACTTTTATTAGAATTGGAAGCTGGAGCACTCAGACATATTTCTCAGCAGCCAGTTTGAGCTTTCCAAGAATATAAGAAAAAGGGGAAAATAAAGTCTTGGGAGTGATGGGAAGGAAGAGAGATCAAGGGTGTAGGCAGATGGATCAGAATAACCTTCTCTAAGGTCAGGGAAAAGTGTCCATCAGTGAGAAAGAGAGAGAGCTGAGAAGAAAAGAGCTTAGGAGTGCTAAAGAATCGGACCACTCAAGGGAAGATAGGAGAAAGTGAATCAAGAGAGAATGGCTTACAGGCATGGGCCTGGCTATGCTTAGAGACCAGTTTGCCACTTTGCAAGAGCTATGATTTTCTTTTGTAGTTCTTAGCAACCTAGATATGAGAAAACAGTTTGAGAATCAAGGTTTAATGCTAAGTTACTAGAAAAAGAGGGAGCAGGGAATGAGAGAGAATGCAAGGAAATCAGTGAAGCTAGAGAGAGCAGTTCAAATGATTGACCACACCAGCTCTGAGCAGTCTAAAGAAAGTTATGAGTAATGGCTGTAGGGGACAGAAGTCTCCAGAGAGTTGGAAAGATGAGAAGTTGGGGTCAGAGAATGGAATTTTAAAATTTTGAAGTAGATTTGTTTCAAACGATGGCAAGAATCAGGCAGTGGCCTTGGCAGTGGGTATTTAAAGAAGAGGACAATGAAAGTCACTGGAGGCATGGTAGCTGAATGGATGCCTTTGGGGAAAATGGCAGAAATTGAGATAGATCAGAAGAAAGCGAACTAAGTACCAGAAAGTCTTCACATGATAAGGGATAGTAACCCAAAGATCTGTAGATAATGGTGACCAGGAAGAGCAGATGGCTGGGAACATGTTTGGCCTCTGACAAGCATGAGCTTCCATTGAAGGGTGGTATAGAAGCAGCAATGGGAAGCCAGGTTGATGCCACCTCCAGACCCACAGCCCAGAGCACTGCAAAGTGTGACAGAATAAAAAGGCTAAATTAGCAAGGCCTGCAATGAAAGGTGGTTCAGGAAAGAGAGATTGCATGAAGACTGAAGCAGGAGGAGAAGTTTGTGGTGCACCCCCAACCCAGCCAGGTGGCACAAAGGAGTAGAAAGAGCTCTCAAGTACAATGGCTTTAAAAACTAGTTCCAGCCTCAGCTCCCTGGTCTTAAGACTTGAATAAGTTCTTTCACTTCTTCCCATATGCAAAATGTTCCTCATGTGGAAAATGGAAACACTGATACTAACCTGATCTTCCCACAGGAGTGTTAAAAGGATCAAATGAAAGAAGGGATATGGAATCATTTTGGAAACTAAATCATTCCCCAGGTATGTAGGGAGTTACTGTGACTGTCATCTTCCCCAGGCCTGCTTCTGGTAGGGTCTGTCATGATAGCCACCTCCCATGACTCAGTGGCCACTGATGGTCTCCACTCTTCCTTTGGAACACTTTGTGAATCCGTTGCCAGGTCACGGATTAAACCTCTTTTGACACTGAAGAACCTCATAAGGCTAGAAAACTCTTACTTAACTAGCCCTACAGTTATCTCAAAGAATTTAGATGTTAAATCTATCCCTTTCCTTATTTCACTAATCCAGACGATTAGGCATAAGTTTGTTAGTCTGGCCTCTTCTGGATGTGCCTCACCTGCCTTAGTTATTCTCAGACTGAGACAATCGGCCTTCTTCAGAGGGCAGCTGCCACATGTACACATGCCAGGGGGAGGGGGAGACCCTGAGATAGGCTGTCTGCAGAAATGAGAGTAGGAGAAGATAGAGACAGAGCACTAACTTACCTCCTTTCTAGCTGTGTGGTCTTGGCAAGTCACTTCACTTTTCTGGGCCTCAGTGTTCTCCTCTCTAAACTAAAGATAATGATGATACATTCTTCAAAGGCTATTTTTAATGGTGGAGTTCTTTTTAGTTTATAGAATACTAATCATATGAGACAGCTTTTCTCCACTACCATTCTGGTGCATGCCACCATTGTCTCTTGCCTGGATTCTTTTGTTCTTAACTGGTCTCTTTTTTTCTGTCCTTGACCCCCTAAAGTATAATTAACACAGACTGTAAGAGTAATCCTTTTTGTAAATTAGTGTGTGCCATTGCCTGCTCAAAATATACCCGTTGCTTAAAAAGCCCAATGGTTTTCATTGCCATACAGAGTTCACCACATTACCACTGTGTCCCTCCTCCCCTCAGGACACACAAACATGCTTCTTAGGTGTTATTTCCTGCCACACTTCCTCCCTTCTTCCCATCCCTCTGGCACACTGACCTTCCTTGTAATCTTGAACATGCCAATCACTTCTAATGCCTCAGGTCTTCATTCAGATGACATCACTTCAAGGACACCCTCCTTACCATCACAGCTTTCCTGAGTTACAGCTTCCTGTCACCTACCCTCATGGAGTTTATGTTCTAATGGGAGCAGGATGACTGAGAAACACATAAATGTATAATAGTATTGTATATGTGAATCAACTTAGTCCATTTGGACTGCTGTAACAAGGTACCCTAAACCGTGTGGCTTATAAACAATAGATGTATATTTCTCCCAGTTTCAGAGGCTGGAAGTCCAACATCAAGTTCCCAGCAGATTCATTGTCTGATAAGACCTGGCTTATAAAGGCCGTCTTCATACTGTAACCTCACATAGCTGAAGGGTGGACCTCTCCCAGACCTCTTTCATAAAAAGAATACTAATCAGGCCTGGGATTTAGTTCAGTGGCACCACACCTGAACAAGTACAAGGTCCTCAATTCGATCCCTGGTACCAAAAAAAGAATATTAATCTCATTCATGAGGGCTCTAACCAAATGTCTCACCTACTAATATCACTTTAAGGTTAGAATTTCAGCATATGAATTTGGGGGGAACACAGATATTCAGTCAATAGGGAGAGGTGTGTGTCCGTCCGTCCGTGTAATCCTCTATGTGTATATATGTATAATATTGTTGTCTCTGTGTGTGATTCCTAGGCTCTGATTAGAGGATTACTAGATGGGCCAAGAGGGACACATTTAGCATTTCTTTTTTTTGGTACCGGGGATCAAACTCAGGACCTTGCACTTGTGAGGCAGGTGGAACCACTGAGCTAAATCCCAAGAAGGACACATTCATGCATATAGTTGGTCTTCCCATGTCTCTATGCTTTCCAGAGTCTCTGCAGTTGGTTTCTCTCTTAACATCACAGCCTACCTTTAGAGCACGGCAAAGTAGTCCACAGATCCTCCTCCAGCTTCCTGTCCACTAACACCTCTGAAAAGCCATTGGGATTTCTTTGGCTGTACTCAGCCCTGCTTGCTATAGCTCTCTTCTGTGGTCTGTCAGTGCCCAACCTCAAATTTGAAAGAAAATTTGCCAGAATTTCTTCCGCAGAAAGGAAGGGCTGGGCTAGGCCAGTTAAGTATGCCATAATTTTTAGATCCAAGACCCAGAATAAAGGAAAACAAAAATAGATTCTACTTTCATGGATCCATTTTTACTCTGTCACTTAATATTTATGGGGCAGGGCATCTCCAGGTGCTGAAGATATCGATGTAAGCAAGGCAAATTCCCTGCCTCAGTAGAGACGTTGTCTAGTGGGAGAGTCAAAAATATACAACTATCTTGTGATCATTGATTCATTGAATAGTGTGCTTAAATATCTCCTCCAGCAGGCCAGGTACTGAACATAGAATATAATACAGAGCATAGACTAATACAGCTTACATTCTATAGAGGAGATAGATAATAAAAATAAAATAAATGAGTTTATAAAATTATTCAGGGTGGTGATATGTGCTGTGGGAAAAACTAAGGGTAACTGGTTGAGAGTGACTATATGGGAAAATGTACTCATTCCTCAGGCTTTTCTGAGGAATCAATATTCAAGATATAGGGCCGGGGATTTAGCTCAGTGGTTTCGCCACCTGCTGCGCAAGCACAAGGACCCGAGTTCGATCTCCGGTACCAAAAAAAAAATATATATATATATATATATATTCAAGATATAACCAAAATGTTGAGTCAGGCATGAAAAGGTCTGGAAAATGACATTCCAGATAAATGAGAGGATAAAAGCTTGGTCCGTGCAGGAAGTAGAAAGAAGGCCAATGCATCTCATGCATTGAGGGGTGGGAGGTGGAGACCAGGCCAAAAGGAGGAAAGTCCAGATGACAGAGTGCCTCTTATCCTGTGGTCAGCACAGGAAATTCAGATTTCATTTTATGTGCAATGAGAGGACATTGCCATGAGTTTTTAGAGGGGATTGATGTGATTCAATTACTGCTTTTTAAATTTTTCTTTGGCTGCTTGTAGAGAATAGATCACTAGAGTGATGGGACAGATAAGCCGGAGATATAGTAAATGCTTTGGGAGATCATTTATTCCAGGATTAGAACAGAAAAGTTTCATAAAGAAGCTGGTCCTTGAAGCCAAGACTTTATTAGCTAAGTTGGACTTTGCCTGAAGAAAAGGAAGAATTGAAAGGAGAGAAGAGGGCACATTTTAGGCAAGGGATAGTCAAAACATAGAGATCCTATATATCCCATAGAGGAAATGGGAAGAGCTTTATTTGAGTCAAGATTGAGATGAAAGCTGTAAGCAGAGCACAAAATTAACATTGAGATTCCTGCAACCAAGACAAACCCTGTTTTCTGCCTTAGTGTATAAGGTTGTAATGAGGTCACCTATTCTCCAGTCATTAGAAGAGGGTCCAGAGTATTACCTACTACTGTTTTTCTCCCAAGTTCTCAAGGATTTGGCTCTATTCTTTCTTAGTTATTAAGATCTCTCTATAAATGGTCCCCAGAATCAAGACAAAAATAGTCCACCACCTCCTCCTTCACACAACCCAAGTGGTCCCTTTACTTCATTGGCATCCATGTCTCAGGTTCAGGCTGAACTGCACCCTCAGTGCAAAATTCCTCTTGATCATTTGCAACAATCAGCTCTACCCTACAGAACAAAGACTTGACTTTCCCTTTGCGGGAAAACTACTCCCTGGGCTGCTTCATTTCTCTGCTTGGCTATAGCACTGCTCTGAGCATCACCTACCTGCAAGGCCACTAAATGAGTATGGGGTGTGGTGGGAATGTACCAGCCAGTCCCTGCCCATTATAATGGGTGTTCCCTGTTCTGCAGGGTCAGACCGATACCTGGAAAGCCGAGATGCCTCTCGACTGAGTGGCCGGGACCCCTCCTTGTGGACAGTTGAGGATGTGATGCAGTTTGTCCGGGAAGCCGATCCTCAGCTTGGACCCCATGCTGACCTTTTCCGCAAACATGTAGGTACCCTACCTGACCACTCAGACAGACTTCACTGGCCACTGTGTTCACCTCATTCTGTCAGTGTAGGATCTGATTCAACCACATTCCTACTGGGTTTGTGGCCTGAGGCTCCATTGCAGGCACAGGGACCTGAGTCTTTTCCAGGAGTGCTTGCTTTCCTATCTACCTTGATGTGAAAATCAGGGGCCTCAGCCCAAATCAAAGAATCCCTTGGCCCCAGTCCCAACTTTTATGAGTCCTCTGTTATCTGCTTGTCACTCTATGAGCCTGCACTCTCTCTTCAAAGAACCAGTTGGCTCCATGGCTAGACATTGCTTCCAGTATCTATGCTCTGAGCATACCCCTGATTTGGGACTCAAACCTGTGACTCCAAAGCTGCTCTTGCTTGGTGTTCATCCCTGCAGGCGCTCAGAGCAAACTTGGCACTTGTTAATGGACCTTCAAATCTTTCAAGCCAGGTGGGTTTGTAGCAGACTCTCAAGCTGGCCTGAAAGTCTCACAGCCTTCCTGTGAGTTGTACTTTGACCCAGCCCAGAGAGGCCTCTGCTGCTCAGGACAGGTAATAAATATATCACAGAATATCAATTAAGGGTCAGTATAAACCAACGGTGGCGAACCTATGGCACCTGTGCCACACCTGGCTGTTTGTTACCATTGAAAGCTCTAAAAGATTTGCCATCACTGTCATAAATGGTTGGTGCAGGTACATGACTGGGAGGTTTCCTAGGAGAGGTAGAGGTGAGCTGGCTCTCAGAGAGTTGGAGGGCAGAACTCCCAGGCAGCAGAGAAAGTTACCTAGTGCCCACTATGTGAGGAGCCTAACCTGCTGGGTCTTAGTCCCTAGCTAAAAAGGAGAATAGGCAGGCTGCAGTGTCCCAGTAGAGTGATGGCACTTCCTTGAGGGGCTTTTGATCAGAACCTAGGGAAGTCAGACCAACCAGGCTCTGATGGTGGCACTCTCCCTTCTGATTCCCCTGTCCCCCAGGAGATCGATGGCAAGGCCCTGCTTCTGCTGCGCAGTGACATGATGATGAAGTACATGGGGCTGAAGCTGGGGCCAGCGCTCAAGCTCTCCTTTCACATTGACCGGCTGAAGCAGGGCAAGTTCTAAACAGAAGACACAACCTAGACACCAGTGGTCTGGCAGACGGGGTGTTCTCCCAGAAATGAGAGCCACCAGCCTTCTCCTAGGTGCCTCAGTGTGGCTTTGGGCCACCTCACAGCTCCAGGAGGTTGTGTGGAGCCACCACTGCTGCCTCCTCCTACCATAGTATGTCCTTCCATGAAGGACCAAGGAGGGGAGAATGTGGGCCCAGGGTTGGCACTGCTCTTCCCCTCAGCCCTGAGGGGCTAAGGTCTCCTCTATTTATTCCTCAGGCCTGGATGGCCTCTCACCAGGAGTTTAGACTGAGTACTCTCTAAGTTAAGGAAGTAAAAGAGGCCAACCCTGAGGCCTCAGAAGACCCTCATACCCAGGGCTTTCACCACTTCCTGTGCTTGGTGTGGTGTCCCAGAGCCCCCCAGCTCCTGTCTTCTCACCAGACCCCCAAAATCTAAACCCATGGTGCCAACTCTGCCTTTTAAAAAATACATCTTCTCTTACTGCTAATTTATTGTTTCTGGCACCTGGGCAAACCTCTGGTTAGTTACTACTCCTCTTGAACCAGACACTTGAGTTTTGGGAGGAGGGAGACCACCCTGCCCTGCTCCCAAAGAAGATAGATGCAGCCTCTATTCAGTGGCACTGCCCTCGGGCACTTTCTTTTTGGAATGGACAGACCTACATGCTTTGCAGGGAGGAGAAGTTCTTGTCATCTTCCCCTCTTCCCCCACTGGGCTTTTTGCAGCCCCAGACCCATCTGTGGAATGGGAGCTGTCTTTCATACTGTCCCCGCCTCTGCTTCTTGCCCTGGTCAGAGGTGCTGCAGAAAATTGGTCCTAATGATTTTAGACTAAGCAAACCCTAAGGTTGGGGAGGGAATGGTCTCCAGCTGGTGTAGTCCATATTCCTCCACTGGCCATGTGCTTCCTTGTAAGCAAGTCAGCAGCATAGCTGCTCCTGTTGCCATCTGGACTTATTTTATGTCAATTTGTTTATAAATAAAAACCAATCCAGATGCCAGTGTCTTTTTAATCAGTTGACAGCTAAATTGCTGTGCATTCAGTGAGCAAGTCACCACCCTTCTCTTGGTCTTGGTGTTCTCATAGCTGAAATGAGCTTGGACCACATGATCACTAAGAGCTCTTCTAATTTCAGCAATCATAAGGTATCTTTCAGGTGCCCTCCAGCCCCAGCACCATACAGGACCCCTGAATGACCATGTATGAATCCAGCCTCTTCCCTCAAAGGACCCGGCTCTGGTGGACTACAGTGGTGAGCACGCAGCTGTGCCAAGGAGAGTGGGAAGCAGTGTCAGGGTCAGCCATTCCAATCCTGCATGGCTGGGTGTACCCTCACCTTCCTGGACTGGGGACAATGCAGGGTAGCCTGCACTGTACCCACTACACTAAGCAGAGCCCAGCACTTACCCTGGGGCCACACACTGCTTTACCACAGAGTATGTGCTTTGCAGAAGATAGAGAAGATGAAGGAAGCACCAGCTCAGCCCAGTGCAGCTAAGTCATAACCTCATAACCCTAACACAAACTACAGGAATTAAAATTCTCTTCATCTTCACAAAAAACTCATTTTATAGAGGAAGAAACAAGTTCAGATCACACAGGCAGGAAGTGCCAAGGAATGACCTCAAAGCAGAGTGCTAGCCCACCTGTTTGCTGGGAGGCTTTGGGTGGGTTCTTCCCCTTCTTCAGGCCCCACCTGGCTAGGAGGGTTTGGATGAGGATCTTTGGGCCTGGCCAGCTCTCATCAGTGACTGGTTCTGACAGCATAACTAAGGGTTAATATCCTTTCCATTTGGCCACTGTGAGGTTCTAACCAGTCACACTGAAGCAGTCACCATCAAGGCTGCCAGACTAGATAGAAGAGCCCATTTTCCACAGACTCCTGGACATGAGACCCTAGAGGCTGTGTTGTTCATTTGGGGTTCACCCACAGAGGGCCTGACCAAACCCTGCCACTGAACTTCTCATTATTGAAAAGACCCCAGGCACGTATACCAGTGTATGCAGGCAGGCCAGATGTGCTGCAAGGCCAGGTGTCATGGAGCAGAACAGCCATACCCCACCTTCCCTCTTGTCACCAAGAGTGTACAACTTGCTGGTGAATGGTTTTTGGAGAGCTTATTAAGTGCTGAGTTGTTTGTGTGCATTATCTTATTTAAACCTTGTGCCAACCATATAAGATAACTACCATGTTTCCCCCATGTTAAGGTGCAAGCTGAGAGAAATGAGGTTACTTTCCTCAAATCCCATATCTAAAAGCAAATGCAATGCCTCACATTGCCTTCTCCCACTAGGGTCTGTCCTTTAGAACCAGGGAGCCATTCAGACTCAGGACTCTCATAGTCCAGTCTTGGCATAGCATTCACTGTGACAGGAAACAGCCTCCCAGCAGAACAGTGCAAGTGGGGCCCCGGGGTCAGGGGTCAGTCCTTGTGAAGGCCACAGTCCTCAAGAGCTGTTTTCTAGAGCTGTCCAGCTGTAGTACAAGGGAAAAAGCTACCGGGAAGAAGTGGATTCACTTCAGCTTACAACCATTGTTTCCCAAGGGAGCTAAATCTCTTTGAACCCCTGTGAGGGACCTGCCTTCTAAGTCACTGCACAAAGAAAACCGTGTTGTGTCCATAGTACTCCAAGTCCAGATAATTTACAACCAGGGGTCATCTTCACCATAAGTAATAGTCCCTTGAAGCAATTGTTGCCCAGGGAATAAAAATAGAAAGGTAACCAAAGATTAAGTCTACAGGAAGAAAAGAACTTGTTAAGCTCTAATCTCTGAGATCAGACTTGAATGCTATTTAAGAAAAATAAAACCAAAAACCCTTCAGTTTATGAAACTGTTTCACAAAGCATTTCTGATAACCAGAAATCTCAAAATCAGTGTGGCTGGCCTTAAGCAGACCCTTTCAGTGCAGAAGAGGCCACTGCATGCACCCTAGCACTCCAGCCACCTGCAAAGGCAGAGGAAATGTGGGAAAGTGCAAGTCAGGGACAGGTGCCTCATGACAGGCAGCTTCACACACACACATAGCAATACTGACAGTGGTGAGCAGATCAGGAGGAAAAACCAAGTATTTCAGGGTCTGGGGATGTACCCCAGGATATAGCACTTACCTAGCATGTGCCAGGCCCTGAGTTCCACCCCTAGCACCACCAGAAATACAAAAAGTAACAGAAGAACCTAGGCTCCACTTAGGGCTGGTCAAGGTAGGACTGGTCAGAGGCATTTCTGGAACTTTCTGTCTCCTCCCCATCTTTGGAGCCTCCTTGCTCCTAGCCAGGTGACACATGTCCTCTCCACTGTTCCATTGTCCAGATTGTTAGTCCTAAGCAGGAATGTCCACAGCAGCCCTCACTGGTATCTTCATGAAACTTCAAGATCTTTCTCAGGGACAGGCACTGGTGGGCCAAAAGGGCACACTGCCCCTGCTGGATGCCCCAACCCCTCCTTGGGAAGCACCTGAAAATGACTTGCTCTTACTTTTTTTTTTTTTTTTTGCTCGCTCTTTTGATCACAGCTAAAAGTGTGAAACTTGAGACAGTCAAAGCACTACCCATCCACCTTGCTGGCCCTCAGCATTTTGCAACCTGCTTACCCTACCACTCACCCCAGGTCATTACAGCTGCTCTCCCACCACATTGCATGAGACTTCAGGCCCCAGCCCAGGGATAGTCACAGCCAAGCATCAGAGGTATGTACTTGTGTCCTCAATACCAAAGCCACTACCGATATTCATGGAGGCCAGCAGTCATCAGCAAATGGTATAGAAAGTGGGCTGGAGTCCTTCAAGTATCAGACATAGCCTGTGAGTCACTAGCGCTGGACCCTGTCTACATGAATTTGGTGTTAGGCTATGAGGGTCTTGAGACTAAGGCTGAAATGACATAGGTCCCAGGACCCTGAAGGTTGCATCCACAGTACTCCTCCCCAGAATCTGCTCTTTAATATGCCTGTCCTCTCACAGGTGGCTGAGCTCATTTCTCTCCCCTGTCCTCTACCTCTTCACTGACTTCCCTGGGCAATTAGTATGGACTCTGCTTTGGGAGCTGGAAAGCAGACATCCTTGATGTGGATTCAGCTATCATGACCATGTGAGCCCAGTGGACACTCCAGATAATGTGAAAAGAAGCATTCCACCATGTAACTGTGTCCTCCATCTTTGGCCCCCAACTCCCATTCCAGGAGAGCCTTAAATTTCAGGCTTTATTTTGTTTCCTCTGGTGCCAAAGGAGCTTTATCCATCAGGTCACAGACATCCAGTGAGAGGATCAGAAGGGGCTGCATGTCCCACATTTTGCACCACACTGAGCTGCCTGCAAAGTGCCATATGGAGCCTAAGATGCTGTAAACAGCCTGATTCTCATGCAATGCATTTCTGTATTAAAAAGTTTATTTTTTAAATCTATTTAGTACTCAAAATGAAAGACAACTTTTACCCTCATTTCCAAAAAGAAAGGAACTGATGCACATTTCACATAAGCTGTTAGAGGCTGCAGAGAAATAGGTGATGGCCTGGCTTAAAGAGATTGCCAATAAGAACAAGAAAACAATGGCAGTCAGGTCAGCAAGGGACATCTTGTGCAGAACTGGCAAGGCTGCAAGATAAGGAGAACAGCTTAGAGTGTGTGTGTGTGTCATCTACCGTTTTCCCATGGTCAGCTATCTCCTCACTACCCAACACAACTTTAGTTAACATCTCGAAACAGCTCATTGGCCACTTGTCATGAGAGCAACTCATGGAAGACAGAGTCAAGGAAGACTTGAAGGCAGGCAGAGAAGCATGGAAAGCTCCTGGCTGTCCCTTTGTGACTTAAGCAGCTGTGGAGAGTGGAGGGAGACCTGCCTGCAAGGGCTGGGCAAGCTGAGGGAACCTCAGTGAGGCCTGCTCTCCCCAGAGCCTCACACTGCCACCATGTGGGCCAGGGCTCTTCCTTGCCCTCACAGTCTCTTCTCAAGCTCCTCACACCCAAGCTTCTGCCTTCATCCCAAAGGGAAACAAACTCCAGGAACATCTTCAGCACAGCTGCCCATGAAGAAGGCAGCCTTCACCGTAGTTCCTCAGTTGAAGTATCACTGGTGGCCTCCACTCTCAGTCCCCTTAGTCAGGGCTTCCAGAAGCAGTGTGGTAAAGTGTGTGAACTGCATTTACCAAAGTCCCCACCCCAGAGGAACAAGTTTCTGCATTCAGAGAGGCTGTGCATCACCAAGTCTTGGTTCCAGTCAAAGAACAAGGATGGCCTTGTTCTTCAAAAAGAGATGGCAGTGCTTAGCCAACTTTCCAGTACTCTTGTAAACTGCATCCACTGTCTCTGGAGTTGAGAAGAGCCTGGTATCAGGGGAGCCCTGAACCCCAGCCTGTGCATTTTAGTCCATCCTGGGAGCAGCTAGATCTGGTCAGTGTTTGGTGAAGCATGGTATTGGTCACCAAAGAAGAAAGTGAAGGCTTTAGGCAGACGTGAAGGAGGGCAGAGAAGCATGGAGAGCTCCTGGCCAAAAGAAGCAACAACTGCTAGCCTGCATGGCCACTTGGGGCCTGGAGAAGCATTGCAGAGGGAAGATTCAATGGATTCTAGAAGCTTCCCAGAGGGAGCGCCATGGCCACAGTGGGCAGATATATCTGCATACAGTATGTGACTAAGCCAGTAGGGGTGAGGGAGGAGAATCAGTTTGACTTTCCTGACCCCACCTGCCACCTGTGTGGCAGGCCATAAAGGGAAAGCATTATTGACCCTCATGAGATCACAGAGGCAGCTGTGCAGGCCCCACCCACTTCCTAGGACCCTGGTTCTTGCTGCCTCCAGGCCAAGCTCCAAGAACTCTGAGGGCAGCTGGCTAGGGGCCAGGGGGCTCTGACAGCTCAGGGATACCTCCCATGCTCCCCCAGAAGCCAACAGGACATGAAGGTCTTAGGCCTCCTCTTGCCTTTTGTCCTGAATGCCCCCTCCCCAACCATGGTGGCTCCCAGGCCCTCAAGGATCCTACCTGAAAAGATGCAGGCTGGTGGTACCTACTGCACAACCTGGAGGCCGGGGGTGTGGGGTGAGTTGAGGACTGATGTGTGTGCTTGTGTGCACTGCTCAGAAGTGAGGTTCCTAGGCCTGGGGCAGGGTGCAAGGGCTCAGCTTTAACTATGTTTTAAGCCTCCTCCACTTATATGTATGTATGCAAAAGCCATCTTTCCAGCGGGGTGGGGTTGCGGGGGGAGACAGAACTTTTGTCAGTGTGCTCAAAAGCATAAGAGCCCTCAGACCCAGCCCTGACCAAGTGCAGAGCCCTTCTCGTCTCACAGCAGGTTTTAGGCCAGGCAGAAGAAGAAAGATAGTTGCTGCTGGCCAGCCCTCAGAGTCCTGGGCTAAGTCCTCTTTTCCAAAAGTCCCTCTTTAAAAGATTTTTCTGGTGTCTGGAGGCAGCAGAAATCTTCTAGTTGGCAGGAAACCTCAAGGGCACCTAGGAGGCCCCTATCCTGTGGATTAGGGAAGGAAGACAGGACCCCTGGAGAATTGAGAGGCTTGGTAGGTGGGGCCCTCAAAGACCTGAGTTCTGGTCCTTCCTGCCCCTTTAGGCAAATCCTTTTGGTCTGCCCAGACTCTGTGGTCTGGCTCAGTTGTCAAATTCTTTCTTGCCCTAGGCCCCAGGTGGGTGGCAGGTCCCTTCCTGCTGGCCCTCTGCCATCCTTCTCTCAGAAGCTGCCCAACCTCTGTCAGTCTGTGAGTCTCCCAGGAGCCTCAGCACCATTGGATCCCTTGGAAGACCCTGGGCTCTGGGAGGAGCCACCAGCAGTGAGGAATCTTAAAATCTCTTCTGAGGAAGACTTCCATGGTCACCAGAAAGGGATCAGCACAAGCACAATTTCAGGAGCCCCCTATGGAGACCCAGGACAAGCAGCCTCCACCAGAGCTCCCCTCAGGAGTCTCTCCACTTGAGGACTTGGATCTCAAAGTGGTCCCTGACACACACTATATGTAGGCCATCTGAACCCCCAGTTCTCAGTGCCTGTGCTTGCCTGCCTGCTGCGAGACATCCTGGAGCAGCCGGAGCTGCCAGTGGCTTGAGAGCACATCCAGGTGGTGAGGCATCCGAGGAACACCTATGCACTGGTTCGAGTGGCTTCCCACAAGGCCGCCCTGGCCTCCCTCCACTGGCGCCTGCGGATGGCCTTGGAGGAGCAGCTGATCCTTAAAGAGCTGACGGCTCGTGGGAAGGAGCTGGTGTTGAATGAGGGGTGGGGGCCAGCACAGAACCGCAGAGAGGTAAGACTTCCCCAGGTGAGCCCCAAAGGTGCACTGGGGAAGAGGCCTGTGTGTAAATGGCCTGAGGGCCTGGGGACAAATCTGCAAACTTAGGGCCTGCTACTTCTTCACAGGCCTCAGCCTGGTACTGCTGCTTTCTCCAGAGGAACTCTGGCCTTTAGGGGCACCTCCAGCAGAGCCTGGGTGAAGAAATGCCAAGTGTAAACTCCTCCCCAGGCTCTTCTGTAACCCACTCCCAGGCCAGGGTAGCCCTCAGGCACACAGGAGTCCTTGTTTTCTCTGTGACCCTCTTCATTTGTTTAGTGGACAAATGCCAACACCCACTCTGTGCTGGGGAGAGTACAGCAGAAACTGGAGGCCTGGGCCCTGCCCTCCACCCATGTGCAGAGCCACACACCACCAGTCACAAAGCTGAGGGACTCTGGAAGGACACAGGCAGGTTCTTACTGCTCTCTGGGGACAAATTCACAGGGAATGTGAAATCCAGACTCGGATTTAGGGGGCTGAGTAGGCACTCGGGAAAGAACGTTCCAGGCAGAAAGACTTCCCTGTGCAAAGGGTTGGGGATGAGAGGATGTCATATTTTCAGGGCAGCCTGCTTGTTGTCCACAGAACCCAGGCTGGAGGCTGCAGGGATGCTGAGGAAGGAAGCAGGGCTGTCATGCAGGGCTCAGGGCCCCATGGTTTTGATCAAGGCAGAGCAGAGCTGGATCTGCTGGGGGCTGGAAGTAACAGATGATCTCGTTCTTCCTTCTCCTTGGACTGCAAACCATTCCGGAACTAAACAGCTCAATGACACCTTTCAACACACATATGCCTGCTTTCCTGTTTGCATGACTGATTCTGTTCCTTAGACTGAGAGGTTGTCTTCCCTGAGGAGCTGCAGGGCTAGCAGGGCAGTGACCCTCATGTCCGTGCATCAGCCCATGCTGAGCTCTCAGCCCCAGGGTAGAATCATAGCTCAGAGCTAGGGAAAGGCTTTTAGAGAGGAAGGACTATGTCACTTTGGTTAGAGTGGACAAAGAGGATGCATGGGGAGAGAGATTGGTGAGGGGTAGACTGATGAGGCCCAGACTAGCAACGTGGTCATGAGAACTTGTAGTGCCCAGTGCCCTGGAACACAGCAGAAGTCAAGGGAAGGGAGAGGAAAGCTGATACTCAGAAGGATGTGTCAGCGACCCTGGAAGTGGCAGGCAGAGGTTCCAGAGAGATCAGGAAAGGGACCTGCAGTTCTGCATCGGCAACCTTAGGAAGCTGAGGTATGTTCTGGAATCACCTGGGCCTTGGCCTCAGACCTATCTACAGTCCAAGTGAGAAAAGACTTGCCCACAAGTGTACCAGCTTCCAGCCCTGAGAAGGAGCCATCCCTTCTTCCCCACACAGGCATCTCACAGCCTGGGCACCCAGGAAAAGCCCTGAGACCTTTGACCCAGCAGAGTGGCCCCACATTGGCCACAGAAGGGTGGGCAGATGGGGTCTCTCAGCCTGGGAGGAGGATCAGATGCCCATGGGTCTAGACCTCAGACTGGGTGCAAGTCTTTCTCAAGGGAGGGACTCCCTTGGGAGTGTGGCAGTCTGTCTCAAGGCAGGGACTCCTGACTTCTTCCTAGACCCATACACCCTGTTCTTGATCCCCACCCCAGCAGGAGGAGGACAGTGGCCCAAGCCTGGGCCCCAGCCCTAGTCACAGCCCAGGCTCCAGTGTGCCACTGCCAGCTCAGCCTGCAAATTCTTCAACTAATCGGCCCTGGGCCTGGCGGTGGCAGATTTCCCAAAGCCAGCCCAGGGGCGTGTGCTCAGACAGCGCCATTGTGCACCAGGAGATCCTGGGCCAGGAGCAGCTCTTCCAGGGAGCTTTCCTGGGCAGTGAGACAAGGAACACGGAGTTCAAGCGGGGCAGCGGGGAGTACCTGAATATGGCCTTCAAACACCATGTGCAGCGCTATGTGTGCGCCTTCCTCAACAGTGAAGGTGGCAGCCTGCTCGTGGGCGTCAAGGACAGTGGCCTGGTGCAGGGCATCTGCTGCAGCCACCATGACAAAGACCGTGCACATCTACTGGTGGATTCTATCCTACAGGGTTTCAAGCCTCAGGTCTTTCCTGACGCCCACACTCTCACCTTCATCCCCATCATTAGTACCTCCACCACCAGCGTGCCCCTCAAGGTGAGCCTGCAGGACAGGCAGGCCTGTTGTCTGTCATCACTAGCAGGATGATGGCCCATGCTCTCTGGAGTGGGCAGTAGGGGAAGAGGGGGTTGGGAAAAGGAGCCCTGCCAGGCTGCCTTGATGAGCTGGGCACAGTGAGAAGCAGGGTGGACTAGGGCTGCCACTGACAGTTACAGCCCCTGCTAGAACTGCCACTGCCCCTGCCAAGGTCCTCCGCCTGACTGTCCACACCCCTAAGGCCCAGAGCGAGCCGCAGCTGTATGACAGTGACCAGGGAGAGGTGTTCCTGCGGCGCGAAGGGAGCATCCAGGGCCCACTGTCCGTCAGTGCAATCCAAGAGTGGTGCAGACAGATGAGGGGGCTTGGGCCAGGATAGGCTGGGGCCAAGCTGAACAAGGCCCCTCCAGACACTCAGTGAGCAGTCTGGATCCTGGATCACCCCATGAGCAGACATAAGGGCTTGGATTAAAGCCCAGCCATTTTTTATTTTTAAGACAGAATCTAAGTTGCCCAGGCTGGACCTGAACATGTGGTCCTCCAGTCTGTTTCCCAGAATGCTGGAAACAGTCTCTTTTTAAAAGTCTGTGTCCTGGCTGGGGATTTAGCTCAGTGGTTCTGGCACCTGCCTTCCAAGTGCAGGGACCCGAGTTCAATCCCCAGTACTAAAAAAGAAAAAAAAAAAGTCTGTGTCCTAGTTTCCATGGTGCCCACTACCCGAGAGTGGCCAGTTAAGAATTCCATTGTTGAGTGGCCAGGGAACAGGGTGGAGTTCTACATCACAAGAAAATTCCAAGGACTGTGCACTGAATGTAGGGGAACCCTGAAGAGAGCGGACAAGAGTGCTGGACACAGTTTCGAGGTGGCACCTTTTCAAAAGGACAGGTGGCAGGGAGCTGACAGAGTGAAGGAAGGATGTGGCCAGGTGGCCAGCCTACACCTGCCCCAGCCCTGGGGAGGCTACAGGGCAGTACTCCATCCTAGCATCCAGCGTGCTGGTAGCTCAAGACCCCAGGGCAGCAAGGGCAAGGGACCTGGGTTCTGACCTAGCTGAGAAGGCTTCCCAGGCTCTGGTTCACCCCAGAGGGAGGGTGACCATTTTGGGGCAATGTCAGCCTGGCCATCTGCTGCCAACACTGTCCCCTCAGAAGTGGACAGCAGAACTGGGCAAGCTGGAAGAGAAGGTGAAGGTGCTGACACAGGAAAAGGAGAAGCTTCAGCAGCAGCTACAGCAGCACCAGCCTATGTCCTGCACCTGCTGCATCCTGTGAAGCCCTGCAGCAGGTGGCAGGCAGCACGGAGCCACTCTGCTAGGTGTCGGGGGCAGTTCCAACGGACCAAGTCTGAGCAATAAAATACACCTGGACCTCACAGAGGTGGGCAGGAGCTCCAGCGTCCTCTCCTCCACTGCACACACAGCTGCCATGCATGTGGCTTCACCCTGAGCAGACCCAGTTGGCAGAGCTAACTGCTCTTGGTACATCCCCAAAGCACCTCACTTTCAGAACAAACTTGGCCAGTTACCCTACAGCTGAGCTCTAAGGGACTGTCCTTCTCCCTAAATGCTCCTTTTGCCCAAGCTGGAGTCTATGACTCCAGTCTGCTGGATGGCTAGAAAGCAATCTGTCACCTTGGGAAGACCTCTTGCCACCAGCAAAGTGTATTTGTTATTTGTGGTTATGGGACAAACAGGACACACTGCAGCCCCACCCTGACTTGCTGGAACTTGTAATTGTCAAAAGCATCCTAATAAATTACATGCTCCTGAAATGCATATGGTTATTTCTAGGACACTTGGTCAGCCAGCTAGATGCTGCTGGGTCATGAGAGAGAGGCTCAGGCCACCTCTGCCCAGGAGGCAGAGGCCAACCTGGGCTCCTGCCACAGAGCTGTGGGGGACAGAAAGCAGTCAGTCTCTGGTTCAGCCATCTTAAAAGACCAGGTGCCGTGGGATAAATCACCTACCTCTTCAGTTTGTTTGCCTGTATGACAGTGACAGTGGGCAGAGGCATTTTGTCATCATCAGGCAGTGCTGTGTCTATGCTGGCTGTGGCATAGAGCAGCATCTGCCCGGGAAGGGTCTGCCTCCCGTTCTAAGACCCTTTCTGGCCTCCCCCTCTGGGAAGGATTCTTGCTCTGGCCATTCCCCTGCCATCTCCACTAAATGAGCAGAGACTGAAACCAGAGTCCCATTCTGCCATGCTCATGCTCCCTCTTCATCCCGAGCAAAGGTCCCTGTGACCTCAGCTCTTACCATTGTTCTTATGCCACCCACACCAACTCAGGGCCTTTGCACTAGCTGCTCCCCTGACTGGAATCCTCTTCCCCAAGATAGTTGCATGACTCCCATTTTTTCTCTGCCTTCAAGTCTGTCCTCAACCTTCCTATTCACCCTTATAAAATCATATCTCTCCCCAGCTTCCTTTCCCCTCTTCTACTTCCATCTTTTCTATGTCATAGAAAAGTGGTATTTCCTCCACTAAAATGTATATTCCAGGGGATGGGGATTTTGTTCTATGTTCAAAACCTAACACATAGTTGGTATGTGGTAGATACCCAATATTTGCTGGTGAAACAATCAAAGATACTCCTATATTTGGGGTCTGAACTACCAGAAAATTATGGACTTTTGTCAAACAGCATTTCATGGGCCAGGGATTTAGCTCAGTGGTTTCACCGCCTGCCATGCAAGCGCAAGGACCTGAGTTCAATCCCCGGTACCAAAAACAAAAACAAAAACAGCATTTCACATAACCAGGGCTCCATGGAGCCACTTCAGTTGATCACACCACTTTCTTTGAAGCCCTTGGCCATATCCCACAAGGCAGACAGAGAAGAGAACAGCTCTGAAACCCAGCTTTCACCCTGTTCATCAGGCAGGGGACATCTGGACCAATCACTACTGCTCTGAGACCTTGTTTCCCCCTGTATCAAATGAGACTCAACCTCAGCCTTGGCCACTACTCACTGGTTACAGGGACCAAATGTGATCATAAATGCATGTATGTTACCAAAATCCTGCTGCAGGATCACTGAAGCTGCTTGAAAACTACATGAATAAAGAATGCATTACTCTAGCTGGGCACAGTGATGCACACCTATAATCCCTACAATCCCTATATGCATAGCTCAGCGCAAAGGCCCTGGGCTCAATCCCTAGTATCAAAAAAAACAAAAACAAAAACCAACCAAACAATCAAAAAGCTTGGGCTGATAGAGCATTAGCTTACCATTCATAAAGCACTGGGTTCATCTCCAACTGGGCATGGGGACACATGCCTGTAATCCCAGCACTAGGGAGGCAGAGGTAGGAGAATTACTGCAAGTTTAAGGTCCACCTGGGCTACATAGTAAGTTCACAGACAGCCTAAACTTCATAGTGAGACTGTCTTCAAAAACAAAAAAAATCATTAATAATGATGGGCAGTGTTCCTGGACACTTCCCCCATGTCAAAAACTGCTAGATGTTGGTCCAAGCCTCACAATCCTCAGAAATGCTCTTCTTGGGACCTAGTTGGATTTTGGGATATAGCAGGGTGAAGTCAGAGTGAGCTTAGTTGCTCTAGACTGCTCAGAACGAGCTGTCTGATCTCCTCCATCCAAGGGAGGACCCAAGAGGGATGCTCTGGGTTTCCTCCCACCATGGAGAAGCCCCAAGACTACTTTGTGCCACCTGGCTTTGGCCCTTGTTCCTGCTAGTCCTGTGTACAGCACTGTGGGGTAGGCAGGACTCTGCAAAGCCCTGGAGAGCCACATGGGTCCCTTTCCTCAGAACACTTTTGAAGGTGGCCAGTGCTTGGCAACTGGTCAGTTGAGGTGGTCTTCCCCAGGGGCAGGAACCTGACTGCAGGAGGCTCTTCCAAACCACCCAGGGGCACACCTTTCCCTCAGTGTGAGGAACGCTGGGACTATGGTTGGGAGAAAGGTTAGAGTGACGCTGTCAAACCCCAGGACGAGTTTGCAGAGATCTGTGGAAGTGAGGATGTTTCGGCTCAGTCTTTGAGAAGTGCACAAGGGCAGCTTGCTCTCAGTTCTGAGACTGGAAGATGGGATTCCTGGCTTCAAGGGCAATGGCAGCCGTGGTGAGTGGAAGGACAAAAGACAGCCTAGTTCTCTGGGTCTTTCTGAGGTAGAAGCTGCACTAACTGGTGGGATACCCTGTATATGATATGGCCCCATATGAGATACCCCATATCAAATTTCAGCGGGTGTGGGGCCAGGGATTTAGCTCAGTGGTTCTGCCACCTGGTTTGCAAGCACAAGGTCCTGAGTTTGATCCCTGGTACAAAAAAAAAAAAAAAAAAAATTTCAGCGGGTTAAGGCTTCACCACTGCTAAGGATCTTGGCCTGAGGCCTGAGCCCTGACTCAACAGAATCCAGATGTTTCCAGAGGGTGACTGGATGCCACTGCCACCAATGCTCCCGTTTTACTTTAGAAGAAAAAACCCTGGCAGGGAGGCCTTGAGCTGCTGGGCCTGCACTCTGGAGGCTAGGCAGGGAGAAAGCAGTCCTGCTGGCTAAGACAGTCCTTGGTCAGCCACTCTCAGCTATGTTTGTGAGGTGCCCACATCCAGCTGCCGTAGAGGAGGGACCCTTGCACAAGACAATCTGCACTTCCTCCCTTGCCTGGCTCCCGGTCAAGCAGCACACTCAGTGCCCATGCTGTTTTTCATCTTCCTTGACACCTGAGAACCGAGATGGAAAGCCTGTTAGAGAATTCTGGTTCCTATAACAAGAAAGGCTCCTCTCTTAGTTCCGAACAGTCTGACAGCTACCTGGAAGCTGTCTCCCCTGAAGAAATGCCTGGCATCCCCTGAAGGGTGCTCCAACTTTCCCACCTGGCCAGTGAGGAAAAGAATGAAAGTCAAAGCAGGTCTTGTATTCTGCATTGTTTATTTCTTAAGTTAGAGTATACATCGAGTTCAGTCAGAATAAAGTGAGCACATGGCTGTGCCATTTATTTCATCACAGTAAGAAAATAGCTCCCCATATTGCACCTCACCTAGAGTAACACCATTCTGGAAGAAGAAAGTACCCTCAATTCAAAGCTGTCTATAGATGAGAGGGTTTTAGGGGCAGTTTCCCCAAAGGTGTTTTTAAGTGACCCCTTGATGCAAGGAGTGTCCCCAGCCCCAGGAACAAGAAACAGCACAGGGGTTTAAAACCACACTTCAGAGACACAGGCTTCTCGTGGCTACATGTGCCATCAAAGTGTCCTTTGGATGATGAGGACCAGCTATAGCTGGCACCGAGCGTCCCTATCAATTTGGAGCAGCAGTAAGGTTTCAGCTCTTGTTTCACGGCTCTTAGAGGCAAGCTGCACACACAGGTTACCAGCACCAAACGTCATCGGTGGTACGAGCTGCAAGGACCTTCTGGTTTTGGCAAATCCACATGGCACACTAATGGCCCAGGCACCCACAGGAAAGCAAGAGGCAATACACTCCAATCCATGATGACGCGAGGTAGTTGGAGAAACAAGGTTGACGGGCCCTTTACCAGCCCTGGCCATCAGTTCCTGACCTGATGTCCGGCTTCTCATCTCAGAAACTGAGGAACTACAAAGAAGCTGTACACACAACAGGCAGGACATACTGTCAAAGGAGCCAGTATCCATGATGGGACATGCTAGTGAGTTTTCCAAATGCCTTTCTCCATAATAAAATAATCTTAATAAAAACATAATTTAAAAGAAGTGTTGAGGGACTGGGGGAAAAAGAAGCATCGAGATATATATATATATATCATGTACAGGTACAAATTCCCTATGACGAATGCTATCATTATATATATCTAAAATGTACCAATATAATTAATTTAAAAAAAAGAAGTGTCAAAAGCCAAATGTAAAATCATAGCAGTAAACTCCATCAAAGTCAAAGGTTCTCTTGAATCTGTTTAAAAAAAAAAAGCAATTACATGATGCATATTAAGTAGAAAAGTTAGAATTTTCAGTCAGTTGTCATGGGGAACAATGCCTGTTTTTCACGAGAGAACAGTCCTAGGAGCCTAAGATGAGTAACTAGAAGCTAAAATTGTAATTCCTACAGAATTGCACATCTCAAGACCTCACAGCAACATCTGCCTTGCCCTGATACAAGCACCCTGGCCCCAGCACCAGGCCAGGCCAGGACCTACTAAGATCCCCTGGTCTCACTTCAGACCCCAGATTCCTGACACCCTTTGCCCTCTGCTGCTCTCACCAGCACAACCTGTACTTCTGACTTTTTCTTTTCTTTGTTTGTTTGCTTGATTTTTTGAGACAGGATCTCAATATGCAGTGCAGGCTGGCCTTGAACTCACTATGGAGCCCAGGCTGGCCTCGAACTTGCAGCAATCCTTCTGCCTCAGCCTCCCAAATGCTGAGATTACAGACTGTACTTCTGACTTTTACATTCAACATTAGTGTTGAATGCACTTGAACTGCACTTTATAAACTTATAAACCCTGTCCCTACAAACACAGACATTCAAAGTCTATTCAATAAATGCCCAGCTTTTGCAGGATTTCTGAAATAAGCAGCAACCAACACCAAGCTATTTCCAAGCAGTATCTTTCTGAAGAACTTCCTGATGAAGACTTCAGGTATTATATAATGACATGCCATAGTCTCATGCCTGTCTCCTCCTTCACGATCTCCAAGTTCACAGCTTCATGAAAAACCACGGTCTAAACACCCAGCCCACCTAGCTGGTCAGACTGGCACCTGAATGAAGCAATGAGCCACAAGACACCTGCACAAGTGACTGGTGTCCCCCACCAGCCCCCCAAGCAGGGCAGCCCACCCATGCCCACACCAATCTTACTATTTCCATTCTCTGGCAGATAAACAACTTTAGCACTAAACTTTCATGATATGCTTGTAACCTTCATGCCTATCACCATTTAAGAAAAAAAATAATAAAACACATCTATCACTTGGGCTGGTGAGGTAGCTCAGACGTAGAGTGCTTGCTTAGCCTGCATGAGCATGAGGTCCTGGGTTCAATTCCCAGTATTGAGGGGGAAAAAAAATCACTTGAAATTACCAGATCAGTCGTGATTTATTGATGGAAACTTCAGTTCAGTGATTTCAGAGTCAGGGGAACTGCTCCCACTTCTGTCACTGTAGGTGTCCCTGTAGGATTCAGAAGGTGGATTCATCAGCTCCCACCAAAAACTCACTTCTCTGTTTTTGTAGCCACCATTACCACAGGGACATGTGTCCACACAGCAGAAATTCACCTCTTTACTATATATTGCATTTAGCATTAGGCTGCAGAGGAATTTCCTTCCTCTAGTTACAAGATATACACAGCCATTTATACTTCGGCCTGTATATGCTACCCACTAACGCTGAGTAACTGGGTGCAGATGAAAGGAGCAGTGAGGCAGAAATCCCCCAGGGGTGTGCCCCACTTCCCGGGGAAAACCAGTCGCCTCAACACAGACCAGAGGGGTCTCTGCTCAGCATACCAGAACTCCGATGCAGCAGAGAGGGAGCAGCCAAAGAAGACAACGCGAGGGACAGAATGGGAACTTCCATATAAATGTGAGGCGCATGGGACACCCCACCCAGGAACCCAACCCCAGCACCTGTGGTTCTTCCCTAAGCCCACAGGAGTAGAAAAGACAGAGTTGGTTCCTGAAGCAGTGTCCCCACCTGGGTGAGAGCCTGCAGCCTTTCTGGAGGTAATGAGGAAGCTGCCCCACGGAGGCCAGGAGGAGCCCAAGGTAGGGTGGGGAGGGCTTGATAGGCCTGGACAGGAACTCGGGGTGGTACTGAACCCCAACAAAGAAAGGATGATCTGAAAGAGAAATTCAAAGGATTCACTATGTATATTGTATGTACAAAGTAAAAGATGAGGAAAAATTTTTGTTACATGGCCTTAAAATTATTTGAAAGTAACATCACCATTTGAATCTAAATATTGGTAACCCCAAAGCATGAGCAATCTGGCACCCTTCCCCTTGAGATGCTGTTCCCTCCTGGCTAAGGGGCCTATGCTCCAGGGTCCCCATCCCAGTCCCTGGCTCCTGTGACTCACACAGCCTGAGTCACGTGGCTCACTCAGTACCAAGTCCAACCTTTCATTGTGGAGGAGGAGCTGAGGGTAAGTGGCTGCTTGTAGAAGGCCACACGCTGGAATCACTCTCCCAGGGCTCCAGACCTCTCATCACCAAGACCCTTTCCCTCATGGAGAGAGAGTGCTACTTCTTCATTCCACCAGGTCAGGAGCCAGACACACAGTATTACATTTTCCCACATGACAAGAAAACCTTATGAAGTTTTCCATTAAACGTATCCACCCAAGCCATTACCTTCCAACTCCACAATCTCCATCCTCTCGCCTTCAACGTCTTGGCCAACAAATTTCAAGCCTTGCTCTTCCAGGCACTTTTTCAAGACTGGATTCACCTGTTGAAGCATGAAAAAAAAATTATGCTGGGCTCTCCATCACTAACTGTCCAGTAACAGAAGAGACCAAGCTCAAGTTCTCACCTCAAATCTATGACGATGCCTCTCTTCCAAGTAGTCTGCGTCTCCATAGAGTTTCCCTGGAAAAACAAAAACAAAACCAGGCTGGATGTTAGACTTCTGATTTCACAAATAACTCATTCACAATGCCATCCTGCTTCCAACAGTTCCTTTTTATTGTCTACATAGCCAGGCTATTACAATTCTGGCAACTATGCTCACTTGCTCTTTCCACAATCTAGAGTGATTCTTGGGCTTCTGTCTCCTGACCGTGCTAAGGAGAACTATAATGGAAACAGGCTTTTACCACCTCCCCAGGACACATGACAGCTCCCACTCTGCAGCTGGGAGCAAGTCTGGGAAACAGACGGGAACCTACCAAACCACGAGAACACATGGGGAAGGAGACAGCTCAGAGCTACACAGACAAAAAAGGCTGTCAGTGCCTGATGGCTGCGGGTGAACAGGAGCTGATGTGCACAGAGGCTGCCTCACCCATTCTCTTTCAGATGCCTAATGAGACCTCCAAATCTACAAAACTTCACAGCATTGGAAGGATGTGAAGATCAGTACTCAAACTATGCTGCCATGGAACCCACAGACAGACACAAGGGAATTTCTGTCAATTAAAGTTGGAATGTTCCCAATGAGTAAGGAAAAAAATCCTGTCTAATAAATAATTTTCTAAATGTTTTTCTCCCACAATTTTCCTAAATCTTTAGCATCTATGAGTAACTCTCAGAACAAAATTCTTTTTAGGTTGAACCATACGAACCTGCCATTTTTGTGCAACAAAAATCCTGAGAAGATTTCATACAGTTCAACTTAACAGTATTAGCAAAGTAAGAGATTGCAATGGATCTAACATAACTGCCTTGGCTTGGGAGATAACCACAGCTCAGGGCTCTGACTGCATCTCCAGTGACCTCCCTAAGACCCATACTGCTGCTCTAGCTATTAAGGTGCACCTGAAAAGAGTGTGAACAGGCAGAGAAAAAAGAACCTTAAAAGCAAGAACAAAACAAAACAAAAAAAGAAGCCCAAAGACATGTGTCCTGGACAGCTGAGCCTAAGGCAGCTCTTACTCATAACCGAGTTCTTGGTCTGGAACAGGGTTCTCCGCTTGCCCAGCCTCATGGTTCCGCCCATCTGCCCAGGGTTGTGTTCTGGCATCTCTATGACCTGGAGATGTTCAGAAAACAAACACAGTCTACCAAATGCTGCTTCCATTAGAAGCAAGACCCCCGCCCCTCAAATGATGCCTGCCTGTGAGTGAGTAGGCTCCACCTCTCCAGCTTCTCCCCATAAGAGACACCATCACTGGGAAATCATCTCCCAATTAATCATTTTTACCCTCCAGGCCAGAGGTTCAGTCTTTCAGCCTGTCCTTGTGATGCTGTTCCTGCTCCCAGCACTGGGGATCACATGGGCCACCAGGCTTTTGCACATTCCAGAAACAACTAGTCCAGTAGCATGGATACTATGGAGACCAGCTGTTGTGACATGTATCTCCCCATCTGCAGGCCTGAGACAGTGCTCACAGGAAGGGGTGCAGGGCCGGCACTCAGGAGCTTAACAAGTGTCTATGAATGGGTGGGCTGTGGCACTCAGAGGGGATGGTCCAGCTCACCTCTCGGTCCACTGGTCCTGAACACCTTCTGACCCCCAGAGCCTTCTCTGTGCCTACTCCCCTGCCTCAAGGTCCACCCTTCACAATCTTTGTTCTTCCTCTTGTGAGGCCTTCATATTAGCAAAGTTCAAATGCAGGTCAACAAACATATACTAATGCCAAGAAATCAAGAACCTTTCCTGTCTCATTTATCAGTATCCTCAGTGATCAAAACAGCTAGCATATGTACTCAACATTTGTTGAATGCCCGAGAAAAAAAATGCCTTTTAACATGCCTGTCACTCCTGGGGTATGGATTCAAAGATGAATAAAGGCACTGTCCTTCCCCAGTGAGCCTTAATAATTGAGCAAGCAGGATGACGGTGACTCACTCTCCTGCTATTAGATGTAACCACCAGGTATGCCAACCTGGAAAGGCTTTGGTTACTGTGACACAAATCAGTACCACACAATAGCAGTTCTTTACGCACATGCTTTAAAGCACATGCTGTCCCTAATAGGACAGCTGCTAGGGAAAACATGAATTAAGAACATGGTGACAATAGTAGCTGGTGAGTGACAAATGCCTATGTTAGTGTTTCACATCAGCATTATTTTATAAAGTGCTCTGAGAGCCAAGGGAAGCAGGAATGGAGAATTATTTTAATCAGGAATCCCCTCAAGGTGGCTGGGCTGATTCCTGTCTTAAAGACTCGTAAATTGGAAACACTAGTGAGGAATTACGTAGTGCAAAGTTCCTCTCTGTTAGAGCTGAGAGCACAAGACCTCGAGAGCCTCTCATGGCCTGCCTCTACCATCCACTGCATCATGAGCCCCCTTCCAGCTCTTTCTAAGCCCCAGGGAGATCGAAACTCTTGACTCACCACAGGATGACTGGTCTTAGGGTCAAACTCTGTAGAATTCGCATCTGAAAAGTTAAAATACTTGAGTTATGAAAACAGTTAAAACAAAATCAATTACTTAATAGTTTAATTGCAAAGCACTAGACTAAATCACCATCACCTCCCTCAGTTTAAAATCAATGATTAGAACAAAAATTAGGGACAGTATTTTTAAGACATAAAAACACTCAACATACAAATACGTGTGAGTTTTTTAACTTTCTGGGAAGTCAAGCTGTATAAAATAGAGAGATCAAAACCAATAGCATAACCTAAAAATCTGTATTTAGGTAATGTCTTTATGACTGGTAGTTCTTATATTATTATCTTCATTTTCTCACATCTTGTTACAGACTATCTCTCCAAGATGAGTGAGAACTGTATCTTCTACTTTTCTTTCACTCTCAGCACCTGATATGCTGCCTTACTCAACTGCCAAGCTCAAATGCTACACCAGAAATGAACTCCTTTCAACTCAAACCACCTTCCCATCCTTTACTGAACTTACTGCCTAACCCTAAGCGACACCACTGTAGACTTAAAGGAAAAGGACCAAGTTCCCAGTACTGTGTGTTGGTTCTTTCTGTGTTAAGTGTTAGGTACTACTCCCCTCCTGGACCTGACCCAGGCTTCAACACAGGGTGAGCTCATCACCAGGTCACCACCCATCTGGGAACCTATGTGAGACCAGGGTCAGGGTGCCCAAGGGTCTGGGGGGCCCTGAAAACCAGTTCTGTGGTAGTAGGGGGAGAGATAGTCCCCTCCAGGACAGAAGCCATAACTAGGGGCGTGCTGCTCACCAAGCTGAGCCACTGTCTCTCAGAGGAAAGGTGAACTGAATCCCAGCCCTAGCCACAAGCTGGCCGTGAATCACTTGCCCTATGTGCTAAACAAGACTGCTTTTAACTCCTTCAGACTGCTTTGTTTATAGGACTTTCTGAAATCTAATACTGTCAGCTGGGTTAAGGGCACAAATGGCTGTGGCAGATTATTTGACTGTGGTCCCATGAGCCACATGCCCAGTATCCATGCCCTGCAGTCCCCTCCTTGACTGGGCTTCACCTTGTGACTCGCTTTGGCCAACAGGATACTGGCAAGTTTGGCAAGTGCTTGTGCAATGGGCCTAGTGTTTGGGAAGTCAGCTGCCACCATGTGTGAAGAAGTCTGGGCACCATTACTGAAGCCACCATGTGAAGCCACCATCTCAAGGTCCTTGCTGGACTGAGCGCACCAAGGAAAGCCAGGCAGGACTGAGGGACTCCAGATACACTACAAGGAGCAGAAAACCACCCAGCTGAGTCACCCACAGGATACTAAGAGGTGACAAGTCAAGGATGTTAAAGCCACTGGGTTTGGGAGTAATTGTGATAGTTATAATACAGTTAGTAAACAAATCTGATATTATTTGAGTATTTCCTACTTGCCAGGCACTGCTAGGGACTATTTGTGTGCATTATTTTACTTCTTTTTCTTTTTTTTAAAGAATTAGAGATTGAACCTAGGCAGTGTTGAGCCACATCCCAGCCCTTTTACTTTGAAGTGGGATCTCAGCTGGCTTTGAACTTGTAATCTTCCTGCTTCTGCCTTCCAAGTAGCTGAAATTACAGGTGTGGACCACTACACCCAGCTACTTTACCTAATTTTTACAACTATGTGAAGTGGGTACCATTTTGACTCCTACTGTACAGAAGAAACAGAGGTCCAGAGAGTCTAAGTAAGTTGCCTAAAATCACCCATAATAAGTGGTAAGTTAAAAGCAGCAGTTCTAGAGCCCAGGTTTATAAAAACTGCACTGGCCTCACTTAGGCTGGTGCCTTCTGGTCACAGACTGGATGGTGGCCCAGGTGGTCAAAGGAAGAATCTCAAGAACAGGACATGCGGGGCAGAGGCCAGGACTATACTTCCTGGTGCACCAGGCACCAGGCATCCTCTTCACAGCTCCCCATCACCCGCCACGAAACAAGGCCAGCACGCGCTCCAGGCAATGGTCCTGTAGAATCAAGAGTCTCAAAATGCACTTACCTTGCCATCCCAGTACATGTCTTGAAAATTCAACCACTGCCAATTGCATTCCTAAGCACACACCTTCCAGGGGGAGGGAAAAGGAAAGGAAGCTCCACTGAGACTGAAACTCCCACATCTCCCCCTCGCCCACAAAGGACCCTGTCTTGCATGGTCAGAGCCACAGTCACAAACTCTTTCCTGCTATAAGCAACCACCGTTTGCTGTTATGCTTTATCTGTATTCAATTACAAAAAAAAAAAAGCATCTAAGTGTACACAATTCTAGGTTCTGCAAAGTTAACAAGTGAGAAATAAGCAATATTCTAGTTGGTACTTACAAGTTCAAGTTTCCTTACCATCATTTCTCATTAAGTTCTCATTTACAACTGATCAAGTTAAAAATTACTAAAATTTACAGCACCAGAAAGCATCCCAAATCCCTTTGCTCATTTAAAGTCAGCTGGTATGCCATGTTAGGACATAAAAATCTCACATGCATATAAACAGAATTCCCTAGTGGATAGTCCACTCTTAAATTCCCATGGCATCTACATGCAGCTTATAAACTTCTATAAGAAAAAAGAGGGGCTGGGGATTCAGCTCAGTGGTTCTGCCGCCTGCCTCGCAAGCCCAAGGACCCGAGTTCAATCCCTGGTACCAAAAAAAAAAAGAGAAGTGAAAAAAGAAACTGAATTTCTACCAAAGAGAACCACAAAGGCTTCCACTTGAGCTGCTATCTAGACAGACAACATGTACGTCCTATTTCAAAATAATCCTGCCTTATTTACAGCCCCCACTCCACCCTGGCACATCTTCTTACTCTTTCCTACTCAGAATGAAGAGGGCACAGCATAACTCCTTACCCAAAAAAGGCTTTTTCTGCTTCCGAGCCCAGGAAATTGCTTGGATTTTTCCTTCAGTTCCTCGAACACCAAACCCTCCTGGAACCAGCACTCCACTGCACAGGAGAGCAAACCACAAGGCAACGCCCCTTTCAATCAGCCCAGCTTGCAGTAGCTACCAAAGAAGCTACTGCCAAGACTCTAATGGCATGAAGTTACCCCATCTGTCTTACTACTGGGGCTAAGACTGTACTATTTAAAGGAATCAACGAGTTGTATAGTTAAACTTAGAAACTGCAAACAAAACTGTGGACTTAGTCACATAAGAAAAGGCTTATGAATGGAAAAAGAGATGGGGCGCATCACTGTAATGCTGCCGCTGCACTTACCTCAAGTACTTTGATGTAATTTTTAAAACATATTGATATAAACCCAATTTGCTTTTCCTTTTTTCTTGACTTACGTGCTCCTGAGTCATCAGAGGCCTTTCCTCCTCAGCAGTGAGCCACACTGGCCAAGCATTCAACAGGAGCTGTACAGCCCGAAACATTCAACTGCTGTACTGAACTCTGAATTCTTGCTAAGTTTTTACTATGAAAAATAATAGCTGTTAGGGAGCCAGGGATTTATCTCAGTGGTTCTGGTGCCTGCTGTGCAAGCACAAGGTCCCGAGTTCGATCCCTGGTACCAAAAAAATATATATATATATACATATATATTTTTAAAAAGTAACAATAGCTGTTAGGACTGGAGATATGGCTCAGTAGTGAGAGTGCCTAGCATTCACGCAGCCCTGAGTTCAATCCCCCACACTATGAAAGAAAGAGAAAGAAAAGGGAAGGAAGGAAGACAAGATGGGGTGGTGGGGCCGGCCGCCAAAAAAGATTGGGACTCTACTATGGCTACTTATCAAATGTCCTGGATGAAGACTCTTTAAATAAACCTAATGATGAATTGCATACAGTATTAATAAAATTAGAACTGGTTTTCTTTAGATCCATCTATATTGGTAAGCAGTATTTTTTGAGCTTAAATCACATAATAGGTAAGTCTTTTCAATAACTGGAAAACATTTTAACAAGTAGATGACCTGCTATTTGCACTGGAAGTGGGTTCATTAACGCAAGCAAAAGCCCTGGGCACAGCCAGAGAACACTACTTACTGGGCACTACAGAGCTTCTGCCAGGCCTCGTGGTAGCGCACGGGCTCCTCCTGCATGGTGCTCAGCTCCAGGTCTGTGGAATCTATGTACTGGGCACCAGGATGGAGAAGAGACAGCTAGTGACTCCCACTGCACTTCCATGACGTTAAATAATATTATCAATGTTGCATTTCTGATAATTTTGGTTTTAAAGTGATATTTAAATTTAATAATTTAACATTTTAATATATGAGAGTTTCCTTCAAAATTGTTTAACTCTGAAGCCAGGCACGGTGGCACATGCCTGTAATCCCAGCACTCAGGAGCCTGATGTAGGAGGATCGTCATGAGGTGGAGGACAGCCTGGGCTACACAGTGAGTTCAAGGCTAACTTGAACATAGCGAGAAATGAGACCCTGTCTCAAAAAACAAAAAACAAGATTGTTTAACTCCAAATCTGGCTTCATCCATTCCATACTCGGTCCATTTAGAATTTTGGCCCAGCTAAGCCACTGAAGGAGACTGTAAAGCAAGTTCACTGATGTGTCCTAATGACACTTTCCAGGCCATCTTTCCCAAAGTTTTGTATTTTTGTTTTGTTTCATTTCTGAACAATACTGATGTGTCATTTACATACAGTAAAATACAAGCATTTTAGACACATTTTGATGAATTTGGTCAAACACAGACTTGATGGGGTAGCCACCACCTTTATCAAGACACAAAAAACTACCATGGCCCCAAGAGGTTTCCTCTCTCCTTCTGTTCCAGAGAAGCCTAGATTAGATTTCTATCACCACAGTTTAGTTTTGCCTTGTGGCTGGCTTCTTTGGCTCAGTGTTTTTGAGGTTCGTTCTTGTTGCTGTGTATATCATAATTTTGTTCCATAGTTTTCCCATTTTATAAATATCCCATAATACATCTATTTATTTACCTGGGCATTTGGGTCGTTTCCAGATGTAGATTACTAGGAGTAATGTATCCATTTGTATAAAAATGCTTTTTTTTTTTTTGGTACCGGGGATCGAACTCGGGTCCTTGTGCTTGCACAGCAGGCGGCAAAACCACTGAGCTAAATCCCCGGCCCTAAAAATGCTTTTTTGTATGAATACATGTTTTTGAGCAAATAAATATCTGGGATTGAAATTCTTTGGTCATATCTACTTCTATATGAAACCACCAGGTTGTTTTCTAAAGTGCTCACATCATCAAGGTATGTGAGTTCTACATCCTCGTCGACACTCTTCATTACCCTACAGGGTTTCTCACTATGACTAATTTGCATTTATTCCCCTTACAAGTAAAGGTCGGTCTATTCTCTTTCCACTGACAGAGGCAGGCAGGTCCATGTGCAGACATTCTACGAGCTCAGCTTCTGCTTACCACATTCCAAAGCAAGACAGCTGCCTAAGCAGTGCTGTGCACCATGTCTCTGTCCACCAGGCCCTCTCATTTCACAGGGCAGTTGTATATGGTCACATTATATTCAGACCCAGGCACTCAGTCTCTACCTCTACTCTGGCCATCTTTCCCCTTCATTATTTCTGGGTAATACACCACTGTTTTCTCAGAGGCAGGAGCTAAATCTTCCTTATCCTTAAAAAGAAATTCAGAGCTCCAAAAACAAAGCAGACATGAACACACCCACAAGAATACAGACTGTTTCCCTATTAACCCCTTGGCTATATCGGTGTTATCCTTCCTTACCTTAATTTCCAATTTGTGGTTGATTGCCAATGCAGAATGCTCTAGGGCTTTAATGACTGAGGCATATGAATCTGAGAACTTGGTGTATTTCCCCACAAGGGCAATAGAACAGGTCTCTAGCAATCGATCATATCTATGAAAGAAAGGTCAAGAAATATCCAATTAATTGGAATATATACACCATCCCAAGACCAAGAAGAGAAGAAAAAAAAACTGGGAAAAATGTAGTAATGGGAGTGAGCAGCACACCTGAATATAAGTCTATGTATAAGCCAGTAAAGAAGCAATTTTCAGAACATGATAGACTTTGTAAAGAAAGCAGGATTTTGTTCCTGATTTTAGTGTGAAGGATTTCAGTTTCGACCATTTAGTATGATATTGGCTGTTGGTTTTTCATAGATGGCTTTTATCAGATTGAGGTAGGGACCTTCTATTCCAATTTTTTGTAGGGTTTTTATCAAGAATGCATGTTGGATTTTGTCAAATGCTTTT